TGTAGATCCGCCTATTCCAGATTCTTTGATCGATAAAAGTCAAATGTAACACTAGAGGAACTCCTCACATCATAATAAAATGTATTATTTATATTTAAAATAATTTTAAGGGATCACCACCTTAGTTTAGAAAACTTTTTTAGATAATCTAATAATACATTTTAAAAAAATCTAGATGCTTGTATAACTCTACAATTAGCTTTCATAGAGACTTCAAAGTTTGAAATATAGTAACTATATATGTGCGCCTAAATGGTAACAGAGAGAAAAAAAATAGCAGGAGAGCATTAATTCAAATTTTTGAGGGGGGCACAAACTTGCCCAGTGAGGTGAAGTGAAAAGTGACATATTTACATGTCAGAAATGTAAAGTGTCAGATTTGAAACAAAAAATGGATTAATTTATTATTATATGATAGAGAGATTTGGTAAGTTACTATCAAAATTGTAAGTAAGGGGGAAAAAAAGTAAGAAAGAAAAAAATTTTAAAAAATAAAAGCCACTCGCTTCGCTCGCGGTTGACAAAAAGAACAAATTCGAAAAATATTGTATGAAATTACCAAACTAAGCCACTCGCTTCGCTCGCGGCTGACAAAAAGAATAGATTCGAAAAAAGATTGTACGAAATTACGAAACTAAGCCGCGAGCGAAGCGAGCGGCTTAAGTAAACAACATATTTCAGATTATCGATACTAAAAATTTTTTTATTTTATTACATTTTTTTTGCATTTTTTTTAAGGGTGCACCCGTATGTACGTTTATTTGAGAGGAGGAGGATTACCCTCTCAATTTTGAGGGATTCGTTAGTTTATTTTCTCGATGAATATGCAATAAAATTTGATTTTTACCTTATCAATATACTTCATATAATATACACATGTTCATGTAAAAACTTTTTTCCAAAATCCTCAGGAATTAAGGGATTTTTGAATTTTAAGAATTTTTTTCGAATTTTTTCGAAAAAAAAAATATTTTCAGAACAGCCTTAACGGCTAAGATTTAGGAACAATGTTAAGTATCAAAAAGAAAGGAGGTCTGATATAGACAACATATATCGTTGAAGGTTGAAAAAATCTCTAATATTTGAGCCAAAAATTTCAAATTTTAATTTTTTGAAAAAAGAGGCCACCCGTATGTACGTTTATTTGCGAGGAGGAGGATTATATTTTTGAAAGTGTGAAACATTATGAATATGTTAATTATATAATAATATGTATTATTATAAAAAAGAAAAAATAAAGCACGTTAAAATTTTTCTTTCTTGATTTTTTACAAAATCTACTTAGAATTATGCAAAATATGACTAAATAATTATAAATTTCAAGTTAAATTTTAATTTTGATAAATAATTTAAATTTCAAAATATCAAGTTCAGTTCGACTATGTATGTAGTAATTCCTCAATAAAGTGCCAAAACCCTATTAAAATATATGAACATTTTCAACATTTTAATGTTTTTATTTAAAAATTTGATGGAATATGAGCTTCAAACAATTATTATGTAAATAAAAATAATTAAATATATGTATTTATTCGTATTACAGCCGTAGTAAGTCGATTCTTCCTTTCTTCTACTGAGTTTTGAATTTGATTTCGAATTGTAAAGAGATTCAAAGGGAAAATACTAGCGGATAAAAACTACCTCCATGAAAGGGTCATAATGGACTCAAGTTGTATTTTTTGATATTTTTTGCTTTTCGAGCCTAAATAGGTAGCCAAGATAATGCCTAAAAATAAGGTTCTAAATTCTGAAGTTTACATGATCCTCTCGTGTGCACCCTTAAAGCTTCTTAACTTAAATCATGGAATGTCTCAAAGACAAAAGTAGCATACAGCATGTAAAGCTAAAGAAAGATAATCATAATTAATACCTTAATTTTTAATATTACGCATTTTTAGGTGCAAAATTTAAAAACATTCTAATACAATAGAGCAGTTTCCAAAAGTAGCATACAGCATGTAAAGCTAAAGAAAGATAATCATAATTAATACCTTAATTTTTAATATTACGCATTTTTAGGTGCAAAATTTAAAAACATTCTAATACAATAGAGCAGTTTCCAAAAGTAGCATACAGCATGTAAAGCTAAAGAAAGATAATCATAATTAATACCTTAATTTTTAATATTACGCATTTTTAGGTGCAAAATTTAAAAACATTCTAATACAATAGAGCAGTTTCCAAAAGTAGCATACAGCATGCAAAGCTAAAGAAAGATAATCATAATTAATGCCTTTAAAGTTTAAAATCTTGATTTTTTTTAAAATCAAATATTTATAACTTTAATACATACAGCTTAAACCTTATACTTGTTTTCTCTTGTGAGAAAGCAATCTTACAAAGCTAACAATCCTAAAAAATAAAGAATTAAAATTTAATAATTTAATCTAAAATTAAAATCAAAATTAAATAAAATGAGTTCTTTGTAATAATACTTTCAAGGTAGGATATATTTTAGTGGGATCTATTGAGTCATCACTAACAGCATTGAGCAATCTATTGAGCATTGAAATACTCTCGATTTTTCTTTGTCTTTTTACATCAATTTCTGCGTTAGTTGCTTTTTCCATGATCCTAATGACACGGTCATCTGCTGGATTTTGATCAATTTTGAGTTTGATAACGAAAGATGGTATCACTTTTGTATAAATTTCTATAATAACATCATCAATTCTGAGATTTTTTCGATCAGGAAAATAGTCATGTTTGAGTGTTCTAAAATGAGCTTCGGCAATATTGTTAGTTGCGTCGCCTTCACGCCTGTCACGAGCAATCCATCTTGATATGTTGTAACGCCATTGTCTGTTAAAGTATTGAGATGCTGTTGGATCTGTGTCGAGCAACTCCAGAACTTGATCATAGGCAGCATTTGCTTCTTCCTCATGTTCTGCATCTAATTTGAAGACTAAATCCTTCATCAAATTATAGAATTGTTCAAATTTTTCTTGAGAAGAAAACTTATTTGATTTGCGAAGAATTGCACGAAGAACATGTACTCCGCACCAAAGTATTTGAGCTTGTGGAATGCTTTCTTCTATTGCTTGAGCTATCTGTGGAGCACAGTCCATGCTAATGTATTCTGGCTCAATTGTTACCCATCTGAGATAGGCGCACACGCAAACTTGAATGTTTTGATAAGTGTCTGGTTGACAAAAGAAATATAAAAAAGGGAAAATGTGAAAATCTTTGATTTTGCCAGTAAATGCATACAATGGAATGTTTGATCGCAACAATTTATAGGTGCTGTCTATATGAAATGTCTTGATACTATGCGCATAAGCTTTGCCTTCAAAAGGCGCGTAATAGAAACACATATTATTGTCTGAGACTTCAAATGCAATGAGATCATCTGGAGATTCTTCTTGTACTGTCTGAACAAAGATTTGCAATGACACAACATCGTCAGGAGAATATCTAGTTTGAAGAGCATGTATTCTCTCTGCAAATCGTTTGATTGCACGTGGTTTTTGAGCGTACATCTCTGGAATGGACGGACCTGTAAGAGGAATTTCAAGATCTTTGAATGCATTTAGCTGTGCTATCGCTCTTTGATTGTCATCTGTTTGGAAGTAATGTTCTAAATATTTGCGATAAAAGACAGACGAATATTGACTTTTGTCATTTGGGGCGGAATGATCATGTTCTTCAACTATTTTGATTAGTTTGTATTTATTTTGATCCAAGATTGCAACATTAAAATGTGCAGGACATTTTGGATATTTGCAGTGGAATGAAATCTGAGATCTTTCTTTCCTGACACGTTCACCATATCCATACTGTGCTTGTATTTCTTGTTTAACTCCAAATTTACAAAAATCCATAACAGTAAAGATAGTTTCTTCTTCTAATTCCATTTGAAATTGAAATGAAAATTAAAAATTCAGAAATTTGAATAGATTTGGTCTGTAATTAAATGAGAATAGCAGTTTGTTCGTCATTGTTTGAGGCAAGAGTATTATAGGAATATTATATGATGGATTTGAGTTGCATATAAAGAGTGCAAAAGGATAAAGAGAGAAATTTTGTTAGATTAAATTATTAAATTTTAATTCTTTATTTTTTAGGATTGTTAGCTTTGTAAGATTGCTTTCTCACAAGAGAAAACAAGTATAAGGTTTAAGTTGTATGTATTAAAGTTATAAATATTTGATTTTAAAAAAAATCAAGATTTTAAACTTTAAAGGTATTAATTATGATTATCTTTCTTTAGCTTTACATGCTGTATGCTACTTTTGGAAACTGCTCTATTGTATTAGAATGTTTTTAAATTTTGCACCTAAAAATGCGTAATATTAAAAATTAAGGTATTAATTATGATTATCTTTCTTTAGCTTTACATGCTGTATGCTACTTTTGGAAACTGCTCTATTGTATTAGAATGTTTTTAAATTTTGCACCTAAAAATGCGTAATATTAAAAATTAAGGTATTAATTATGATTATCTTTCTTTAGCTTTACATGCTGTATGCTACTTTTGTCTTTGAGACATTCCATGATTTAAGTTAAGAAGCTTTAAAAAAAAGCAAAAAAAATTGAATACTTTACTGGCTGGTCAAATTTGTCGCCGCCCCCAAATTTTTGACAACTGTGGTAAAGCCTCTGAATTGAATACCCTGTCATTAGTTCGTAAAAGCACAATTAATATCCAAAAACAACACAAAGAATGGATCATAACTCCAAAATTCTGATACCAGAAAACTTAGCTAAATCAGGAAAAGCAGAAAAAGATACATCATGTCTATAAAAATGATCAAAATTTTATGCAGACAAATCGGTAAGAAAAAAAAGATAAGAATGCCCCTCAGGAATTAAGCTTTTTTAGCCAAATTAACGGTAAAGCGCGTTATTAAATATTTATCTGATGTTTGCTTTATTATATGACTATTCTTATCCATATATTTTAGCTATTTAAAGAATTTCTCTGTAACAAGTTCGTTAAGGAAAAAAAAAGAAAGAAAAAAATGCTCACGAAATAACTTTAAAAAAATCAGAAGGACCTTTTAGAAAACCTTTCTTTTAACATCTCTAACCATAGATTTGAAGAAATTTTCATCATTTATATCTAAACCTTCAAGATCAAACCATACGTGACTGTTAACAGTTCTGATTGTTTCTGGAAGTTTCCCTTTGTATGCAGAAATTAAAATGTACATAAAAGTCTTAAACCTGGCAATTTGGCGTTCTTTTAAAGTATCATAATAACTTAATTTAGATTGAAGGTGTTCAGCATAGTAATATTGAGCAATAGGGTTTCCTAAATTTGCAAATTTTTTAATATGATACGAATTAGCTGTACCGAAACAGTAACATGCATTTGCGGCATAAATAGAGTAAAGGGGACTATCCTTGGTTATTTGGTCATAAGGAATAGTTTTATTGAATAAGTCTTGAAAATGATTGATAAGTTCAGAAGAAATAGTACCACCATCACAAGTATCTACATTAATATCACTGAATTCTTCCAACAACATTTTTCTCATAACTTCATCATCTATGATTTCGCAATCAGTCATAGTTCCTGATAAGAAAAATTATTAAAATTTAAGTGTGCCCTAAAGACGATAGACCATCTTCAGAAAAAAAAAATAACTTTTTTAAAAAAATTTTGATGAAAATTTTTAAAATTTTGTGAAGTTAATTATATATCTCTATTATCAGCCGGATTATGGATTTTCCATTCAAAAGTCACGTTACTGCCACCATCAAACCCTCAAAATTTCACCAAAAAAAGGGGTACAAACTCAAAACTCTTTCGTGGCATTTATAAATTATGTCCTTATGTTCTATCCGATGAAAAACAATAGGTAATATTTGATCGATGTTTATTTGAAGTACAAAATATAGATGATAACAAATCGATAATGTTCATTTCTTTTGTTTGCGGGCCTCTCTTTTAGCGTCAAGATCGTTGAGAAGGTTCTCAACAAGGTTAATAATATCGTTATTTGGTTTTTCATCATATTCATCGGAATCGTTAAGATCTGCAAACCATGGATGCTGGAGAATCTCATCTGCTGTTGGTCTTTCCTCGGGATCTACATTAAGCATATTTCCGAGTAAATTCTGAAGTTCATAGCTAATTCCATCTGGAAGAATAATATCTCCACTAGCGATCTGTTTAGCAGTCTCTTTCATTAAAATATCTGGTGGGAGATCATCAGGAACAACCCATGGAAAATGAGCTGCAATCATAGCGTAAAGAACAATACCAGCGGACCAAATATCTGCTTTCATGCCATTGTATGGTTCTTCCCTGATAATTTCAGGTGCTGCGTAAACAAGTGTGCCACAAGTTGTCAACATCGGATCATTACCGCGTTGTTGTTTGCAGAGTCCAAAGTCTGTTAATTTAGCATCATCATCAGCTGTGATGAGGATATTTTCTAATTTAACGTCTCTGTGGGCAACACCTAATTTGTGAATATATGAAAGCGCGTCGATAATTTGGTGGAAATAGTGTTTGGCTTCTTGTTCTGTAAGGCCGCCAACATCCTGGACGATATCGTTTAGATCGCCACCGTCGCAAAGTTCGATAAAAATGTAAATATTGTCTTTATCGATGATAATGTCTTTAAGTTGCGTAATACTTGAATGGTGAATTTTGCTATGGATGAGTAATTCATTACGGAAGTGGTAATAAACTTGATCTGAGATTGCAGTGTTGATGTCTATAACTTTGCAAGCAACAGATTCACCGGTTGTCATATGCTGACATTCCCAAACGCCACTGAACGATCCAGACCCAAGGAATTTATGTGGCTCATAGGGACCTATATTTTTCATTTTAAATAACTTGTCAGAAATAAAATAGTTTTAATCGGCCGGGATATTTATGATAGGATAACTTCGAGCTATCCAAAATAACTAATTATAATTTTTTGAATGAACAAAATTTGAGAAAGTTGAGATCTTTTTTATCGTGAGATTCAGAATTCTTTACATATTAAAAATAATTTTTAGTTTATTACTATTATTTAGAACATATGTGTTTCAATTCTCAATTTCACGTTATTGTTTTATAAATTAAAAATTTTAAAATTGTATTTAATACAATAAACATAGTAAATAATAAATTAAGTAAGGGTTTCGTTTTGCTAAAATTGTCACTTTTATAGCATATTTGTTTTTGGATGTTTTGCGAAACCAAAAAAAAAAACTATGATATACAATGTGTGTGTAAAGAAAATACTTTATTTACTAGTTAAAAAATCATTTGGTATTGATCAAGTTAGTAGTATATGTGAAAGGGTTTAGTGACTTTTTTTGTTACATCTATATATAGACGATGCATTAAAATATAATTTATAAACACATTAAAAAAAATTAACATTAATTTTAAAATAATTTATTTTTTTATCTTTTATAAAAGAAGCTATATATAGATGATGTCAGATATTCCGCGATTAATTAAACATTGTTTAAATCCTGAATGGGTTAAACTTCAATTTAAAAATGAAGATTGTGAATTATTAAATGAATATGAAAGCCAAAATAAGCTAATGAGGTATAAATATAATGATAAAGAATATTTAATTTCATGGAATCAATGGAGTCATAATCAAAGACCTCATAAACGGAAGAAGAAATTGAAAATAATGAAATGGAAATCATTGATGACATTAAAGAGGATGGAATTCCTAAATTTTGTAGAAAAACCTTTAGAACTAAGTTAGGAGCATATAAACGTAGAGTATTAAATCCTGAATACATAAAACATTTATTTAAAAAGGAAGACTGTGAATTATTAAACGTTAATGAATATGAAAATGCTAAATCAAAATTGAAATATAAATATATTGGAAGTGATGAAAGGTGTAAAGATAAAGATAAAGTTTATTCAGTTTCATATAATAACTGGCACACGTTAGGGATAAGAAAACATTTAGGAGATTATGGTAAATGTTCTGAATTCTTTAAATCTAGTATGTACGAGAGAGTAAAAGAAATTAGAAATAATTATTTTCATGAATGAAAAAATAAACTTTAAAAATTCATGTCTTACATTTTTGAATAATTTATTTTTTTATTTAATGATAAATGAGTGGATCAAGATTCGTAACCGTCAATCAATTAATGGATGTCTTTCACCAATTCTTGAAAATGTTAAACAAGTAGATGTTTATTTCGATGATTATGTAGAAAGTTATATTATAAAGGTAAGTTTAATATTAAACCTATTGCTTTTGCATTTGATAATAAATTAATTGAAAATGCAAAAATTTGGGAATTAATTCCGATATTGAATTTATAACAAATATTAATGATAAATGGTTTAAACGAATTCCAACCACAAAAGTTCTTTGTAAATTAATGATCAAAACTGAGGAAAAAGAATTTAACGGGTTTAAATATCATCCAAATAAAGTTTCAGAACTAGAAAATGAAAAACTTCAGAAAAAATTAAACGATAGACTTTCAAATGATCGTATTGAAAAAATAAATAAACTAGCAGAAGTTGCATTTAATAATGAAATATTTGATGAATATAACCTTGAACTCAGTGATGGGCTTTAAGGACCCGGGCTCAACGAGTCATGATTTATGAAATCAATTATTTGATTCATTCTCTTCAATAATTTCTATTCTTTTTGTTAAATCATCTATTTTCATTAATGAGGTGATTCTTGATTGAGGAATAGATTTCAAACTAACCACTCCTTTTATTTTTGAAATTTTGAATCCATCAACTTTAAACATTTTATTCAATTTACATGTTGTCAATTCTTCAAATAATTTTTTATTATTAGCATAATAGTCATTAAATTCTTCAACAGATGAAAAAATTTTTATTTCAGTAATTGGTTTAACAACGTTTATTTTTTGTTGAACATTTTCACTTTCATTTATTTCTTCCTCCTCTGTTTCATTTATTTTTAAAATCGGTTTCATTTATCATTAAATAAAAATTAGAATATAAGTGATGAAATATATTTTTTAATTAATATTAAATCAGAAATGGCGGCAGGATTCTTTAAAAAATTATGGGATGGAATTAAGAAAGCTGCAGGTTGGGTTTATAAAAAGGTTATTAAACCTGTTGCAAACTTTTTGGCACCAGTAGCGAAAACGGCAGGAACTATCATAGGTGGAGTATTAGGTACAAAGCAGGTAATCCGGCGATGGGAGCACAAGCAGGTAACGCAATTGGTGGAATTGCTGAAGGAATACTTAATAAAATAGGAGGTAATAGTGGAAAAATAAATAAATATTATTTTTATCTTAGTATCGGTTGTAGTCTTTGATAAACTTTTTCTCCTTTATTTAAAATTTCTCTTATTGGGGCAGCTTTTGGCGTTATTGATTCAGCAACGTCACTAATTGCTTCTTTATTCTTAAATATCCAATTTGCTCCTTTCTTCATTGTTTCCCAAACTTTATGCGCTCCTCTTTTTACTTTATCCCACAGTTTCTTAAAGAATCCTGCAGCCATAGTTGATTATTTCATTAAAATTAAAAATTCATTTTCATCTTTTAATTTTGATTTTTTATTTATTAATAAATGACGACTAACTATTTAGTGCCAAACACCAAACCGATTAATGGAAATGTGTTTCATTCATTCGAAAAGATAAATGAAATATTCGCAAAGAATGATGGAAGAAGATATTATAGAGAACTTGAAAGTTCATGCTATGACTCTGATGCTCCATATTTTGATGATAAACAAACTCATTTAAGAATTACAAATCCGGCTCATGATGTGAACCAATTAGGTGACACATATATTAAACGCAAAGTTAAAGCAACTCTAGTTTCAAATAAAGCTTTCACATGTGATGCCGCTTTTAAATGCATGCGTTTATTCGTTGGTTACAAATCATCAAATCAAAGCTTTAAACAATTAGAAGTAGAAACTGAAAGAGGTGATGCCGGTTATCTTCAATGGATTGTGCCCGTGAATCTTTCGCATTTGCAACATATAAACCAAAATCAGAAAGGAAAGTTAAAAAGTTTGTTCATTCGTTATATAATAATGTTCAAAAATATGATAACTCAGTATGTGGTAAATATATTGACCCTTCAGAAGTTTTCAAGAAAGCAAATGAAGAAGTTGATATCACTTTTGATATGATTATTCCGGTAAATGATTTGTTAGCATTTCAGGCGTTCGATGATTATCCTAAATCATTTGGTGAAATCATTCTTAAATATTATGTTTTCAGGGATACTTTAGTATTTTGTCAGGTTGACCCGTTAAGAGTTGCTGATTTACAAAATTACGTTTATGAAAAGATAACTGATGAAAATTATGAAAAGATTATGAATCATGTTTATAAATATGATCGCAAATTCCAACAAATCGGACTTCCTGCCAAATTAATTACAAGCTTAGCCGCTACATCTGCTGACGCAACAGTTGATGACGTTATTATTTCATGCACAAAGATGGAAGTTTTAGAGGATAAATGCATTACACCAGGATACGGTTTAATTGAAGAATCAGTTAAAGCAATACCACGTTTATTCAGTAAGGAAGATCCATTCATGATTCCAGCTCAACATATTGACGTTCGTTCACTAAATGGAGGTTGCATCACTCCTGAAGGTATCAGCTCAGATTTCTCATACGCTCTTCATAATGTTACAGATGTTGTGTTAGCATTTCCGAAGAATGCAATGCAAAGAACAGTTTTAGAAAATCCAATGCTTCGAGGTCTTCAGGTCACTATAGATTCCAGAAACTTCCCCGATCAAGCGATGACCACAGTGGGTGACATATTCTTTACACGTATGCTTCAAGCTTCTGATTTAGATGGAGTGAATGAATGCACAGAAGAATACGAGGACTCATTAACTAGACCACTGAATGATGATAATGGCACGCCATTAGCTAGAACATGGAAAGACCAAACTTCATTCTTATGCACTATTCCAGTTCAACGTGATGGAGCGGGTATATTCTTTGATGGATTAGAAACTTTCAACTCACAAGTTACAGTACAAGTGAAAGCTTATCCAATCATTCAGGGTGAAAATGACACTTACTGTTCAAAGGTGACAAATCCTCCTCAGGTTTGGTTTACTAGGACTACATATTGGACATGGACACCGGATGAAGGTTTGAAATATCATCCAACAGGTACACCACACAGTATAGAAGTTCATATGATGAAATATTGATGAATAGAAATGTATAAAATTATAAATTTATTTTTGATTAAATGGATTTAAATTCATTCACCCCTTATGAAGAATTAGCGGGAGTATATAATACATACGTAGATGATATGATTAATGAAGCATTGAGTGATAATAGAAATGCTCTATCTAAGGAAAAATTAATGAAAATTCCATATTCTGAATGTTACTTAAATTCAATCACTGCAGCAATTGGTAAACAAAATAAAGGTAAAACATTAACGATATTAAACAACAAATTATCATTATTGCTAACACTTCCCCCATTCACATGTGTTAATTTATATCAACCGTTCAGGTTCACTCTTCAGATGATACATTTGAATCTTTAAAGCATTTAATCAAAATTCCAATTATTTATTTATCACAAGAAGAAGCAGAAGATTATTTAAAAAACTTTTTAATGTATAAAGAATTATATAATACAATCAAGAAGCAAGGATTAGAGGATAAAATTATTGATAAACAACGGATGAATTATTTGAAAACACTTTCTATTTCAAATTTTGATAGAGAATTTTTGCATTCACTCATTTTTCTAGATGATGCAGTGAAATCAAAACTAATAACAAATGAGAAATCATATTTTAATCAGTTATTAACTCAATGTCGACACATTCAGTGTTCATTCTTCATGGCTGTTCAATACTTCAAAGCATTAAGCACAAACATTAAATCAAATCTATCAACACTTTTCATTTTCAGTGGTTTTAGTCGTCAACAGTTGAACGTTATGCTTTATCAAGTGAATTTACCAATGAGCATTAATGAACTTTACACACAATATCAGCAATTAGGTGAACATGGAAAAATAATAGTTGATTTAAATAAAGGAAGTGTTAAATTTGATTAACTTTTTATAATTATTTTATTTTTTATTTATAATTAAACATGACAGAAATAGCAAATCTTCTACAGGTTCCATTAAAACAAGGGACAAACAAAAAGGGTGCATATAATAGAACTATGAAAGTTCCAGACGGAATGAAAGAATTAGTCCACATTGTTGCCGGTCTTCAAAAGGATGTTAAACAAATGAGAAACGTTTTAACATTACCAGACTCAAGCATATGCCAAACGTCAATGGTCCAAATTTGGGAAGCACACGAAGCAGACATTACAGGTCCAAATGGAAAACCTGATGGTATAAATGAAGTTTTCGTTACTGATGGTCAGGTAATATTAAAGTCATAATGGGTATAAATTAAACTGTATCTGATTATCCTAAAACGTAAAGCATATAATGAATGTTATCCTATGCAATTTGATGAAAATGGAAAAGCTATTAAACAATACATTGGAGAAGGTGAAAATGGTCCAATTAATTCATACCGTCATAATCCATATTCTTATTTCAATGAAGAATTAAACGCTATTGAAGAGGGACGATGGATTACCACGATATGTTAATCAGTTTGATGGTCAATATGCAAATTTGAGACCTGAAATTCCAGCTAAGAAATTCTTTAAAGTTGCTTTATTCGATCCAGTGTTCAATGAACAGAAAGAAGCAATGAAAGCAGAATTTAAACCAATTCAAGTGGCAAGAATTTCTTCATCTTCACTTTCAGAAGCGTTCAAGGAATTGATAAAGAAACCACTTTATTCTCAACAAGGTTATAACTTTGATTTAATTAAAGAAAGTGATAGACGTAAATTGGAAAAATCAGATGGTTTTAAGAATGCATGTAATGAAATGATTAAAGATATTGTAAATGATGAAAATAAGACTGGAAGAAACTCAAAAGCATTATCAATAACATAATTGGTGCAGTTACAAAGAAAGTATAAGCAAACAATGATGAACCTTGGGATATTACCGTAACAACTAAATAAAACTTTAAATATATTTTTCTTTTTTTATTCAATTATAAATGAGAAGACGTTTCACAAGTCAAAAGAACACTAACGCAAAAGCAGAGATTACGGTTGGTTATAACGTAAATGATGATAAATCACGAATTATTCAAAATGTTAAAGTTAATGTTAGTCCTGAATTAACAAATTCAGCAACTCAACCAAATTTATTAACTCGTGACTTACCAAAGAATGAGGAGAATGAAGACCCAATCATTTTATCTGAACCCGGTAAAGAACCCGTTGAAATCCCCACATATCCACATACCCCCACCTCTTTCATCAAACATCGAGAACCCAGGAATCTACGATTACAGTCGCAATGCGCCATATAAAATAGACATTAATTCTGAAATTAATGAAAATTTACCGTGATATAATAATTAATAATTATGATTCAATAATAAATTTAATTGATCAATCCGGTTTAATTATTTTACCTTATGAATCATTAATTCACATTATCGCCATTCTTTGTGATGTTCAAGATTCAGACGTTAAGATTCAATTTTTCATAGATGATGAGGTTTCATGCTGCGGAACAGTTGCAAAAATAAATCCTATAAAGGATATTAGCACAATTAAGATATCAAAGAACGGAACAACAACTGAACTTCATTTAACATATAATGATATTTATAATAAAATAGTTGATGAATATAAAATATCACTTGAAAATTCTTTGTTAAGGCCATTTAATATTCAAGCATTAACATTATTGAATAATAATCCTTTGAATCATAATCAATAATAATTGACCTTTCACCAGTTTCTATCGTTTGTTTTATTTCTTTTTGTTCCCCACTATCTGGATCGGTCATTGTAATTGTTTTTGTTATAGTATCAGCTTTATCTTTAACTTCAATCTTTTTTCCATCAGGATATTTAAACCAAAATTCCAAAAAATTCGATATTGTCAATCTGTTCATATTTTAATCTATCAATTACTTTTTAATACCATCTGAAAATCTGATGAAATGGTCATTATATGGTTTGATTGAACTAAATTTGAATGAAGTGAAATATAACCCGATGATGAATATGACATTGACTCATATTTTCTGAAAACACTAAAATTTATAACATGAATGAATTTCTTATTCGTTGAATTTATGAATTCTTGAGGTAATCTTATTCTATTTTTTTATCACTGGAAAATAACGCTTTACCATATTTTTAATCGTAATAAAAAATGTCAATTATCAATATTATTTCGAATAATAGCTGTGAATTAAATTTAACAGTTAGCGGAATTTATAATGTTACTCTCGTTTCTGTGAGTGGTAAATTTAATCCCATTCTTTTAGACCCTTCAGATTATATATCATTTATTAAAGATGACCATGAAAAAACGTATGATATGTATATAAATAATGTGATAGCGAAATGGGATATTAACACGATTTTAAGTTATTTAAATGAATCATTTATCGTATGGTATGAAGAAAATTTTAAATCAAAACCTGATAAACTTTTGAACTTGATGAAATAAATAACCTTATTAAATTTCCGCTGAAAATTAAATTTTGTACTCCTCATCTTCGTTCATTGTTGGGGATATTAAATTTTGAAAAAGATGTTGGGGATGTTTTGTATTCTGACACTGGTTCCAATTTCATTTTAATCAAATGTGATAAAGTTAATACCCCAATGAGATTTTCACATCAAACATTAGACCCTAACTCTTACCCATCAATACAAAACATTTTATCCATCAACTTAAACATATTTTCTTTATCATATCCGTTTCAATTATCCGGGAATTCATTTATTCTTCATTCAAAAGATTTATCAAATATTAAATTTAGAATAACTGACCTATTTGATTGTGATTTAGAATTTATGAATGAAATATTATGGCAATTTCAAATAGAAAAAATAGGTGATGAGATAACGGATTAAATATTTATTTTTAAATCATAATAAATGATTAAACAACAGCAACCACAGCAACTTAAGGCACAGACCATTACATACGCCATATATGCATATAATTCAAAGACGGCAGAACAAACGCAAATGTTGAAATATGGAGATTTGGAGATAGTATTGAAAAATGACCATTTCGAATTCGTTTGCAAAGGTGGTGCAGTGATATCAAATATAAAAGAAATTTTATTTATGAATTCAAAAATTAAAGGAATAACGGATGATATAACATCAATTCCACCAGAAGAACAAAGATATTACGCATTAAATGCATTTCCTAAAGTTTTGAAGATTGGAAGATTTAATTTAAATGAGGAATTCATAAAAGGTTTCCTAAATGACATAATGAAGAAAGCAGATAAGGAATACGTGGATAGTGAGTTAATGAAGAAGGCAGATAAGGGACTTGTGGCTAGTGCATTAATGAAGAAGGCAGATAAGGAATATGTTAATGAAAAAGATAATGAAATTATAGAAAGGGTTGAATGGTATCATGAACGGACATCGAAGATTCTTAAAACTAAAGCTGATACAGGATGGGTTTCAGAATGTTTAGACCTTAAAGCAGATAAAACTTATGTTAACAATGAGTTAGAGGAGAAAGCAGATAAGAACCATACACATACAAGTTTTACAACTGTTGCTATAGAAAGTATTGAAGGAACGGTTGAAGAAACTGGTGGGGATGTATTATATTGTAAACCTCCTAACTTTCCACAAGGTTTAACATCGGATGACGACATAACGACGATGAGAAACATTAGATGTAAAGATGTTTATGTCATGAAGGATGAACATAATATTAAATTCACTGCTCAAGATTTATATGACAAGAAAGCAGACAAAAAAGAGCTTCAAACATTAAAGACAGAAATACTTCAAACATTATATCCTATAGGCTCTATTTATACGTCAATGAACTCAACAAATCCAGCAACAGTTCTGGGTTTCGGTACGTGGGAACAAATAGTTGACAGGTTTTTGTATTGTGCAAACTCTTCAAAGGAAACAGGAGGAAGTAAAACGATTTCAGGTGAAAATTTACCTGCACATAGTCACTACATAGATTTAAGTACATCTCAAGCGGGTTGGCATAAGCATAGATATTGGGATTGGTCAGCAATGATAAAAGGTAAAGGATATGATGTTAAAGACAACGTTAAGTTTGCTATAGATTGTTACTGGAGTAACACTGAGGGAGGAGGAAACCATACACATCGCGTTTCAGGATATACACAAACAACGGGACAAAGTAAAGATTACATGCCGCCATTTATGACAGTTTACGCATGGTATAGAGTTCAATGAATGAACTAAATATATTTTATGTCTGTAATTAATTAGGTAATGAAGTAATGGATGAACTGCAGAAATAAATGGTTACGTTAATGGTTACGTTAATGGTTACGTTAATGGTTACGTTAATGGTTACGTTAATGGTTACGTTAATGGTTACGTTAATGTTTACGTTAATGTTTTCAGGTCATTCAAAAATGAATTATTTTTGAAGAACTGAAGGTGTCACTATGTCACTATGTGTCACTCGGTTATTTAAATTCTCTGAAAAATGATGACAACATGACATTTTGACAACAGTGTAGGAAATATGATGTTTACGTTAATGTTTACGTTAATGTTTTCAGGTCATTCAAAAATGAATTATTTTTGAAGAACTGAAGGTGTCACTATGTCACTATGTGTCACTCGGTTATTTAAATTCTCTGAAAAATGATGACAACATGACATTTTGACAACAGTGTAGGAAATATGATGCAGTCCAAAAATAAAGTTAGTTTTAAAATTATTTTTATTTTTTTATTCCTATATAAATGACAGCAACAAACAACAACAGCAACTTTATCATTTCTGATGAACAAGTTATTGATTCATTAGCTGAGGAATTAGTTATGGCAGAAACTAAAACCCTCAACGAAAGAATTGGTGAAAACAAGATTGATTTACATAACTACCTCAAACACGATGGAGGAAGAGGAAGGAAAACTGGTATGGCTTTATTAGTAAATAAAATATCAAATTTAACGATTATAGATGTTGATATCAATAAATCATACAATGATGAACTTAAAGAAACAGTTAGAAAAGACATTTTATCAAAACTTTCGGATAAAGATGTTATCGTTAAAACTGCATCAGGAGGTCTTCACATTTATTGCAACACTAATTTCTTCTATGCAGTTTCGAACAGAATGATTAAATGTTATTCCTGCAATGATTATGATATTGATATCATGACTTCTATGGATGATTCAAAACGTTCTTTAGTGGTTATGGCTGATTCAAGAGTTCGCAAGAATGCAACAGAACCAATCAATACATACTCATTCATTCGTGGAAGTTATGATTCAACATTAACTAGAACAGTGAATGATATATTAAATGATTTGAATATTAAGGTAAGAGTTGAACAGAAGAATGAAGAAATAAAGACTATCATGAATGAAAACAAAGATGTAAACATTGACGATAAACTTGCCCAGAGCATAGTTGATGGCATCTGTGATTTTGAAGTACATAATGACGGTGGAAACATGAATTTAGAAAAAGAAGTTACATTATTCACACTGTTTCAAGCAATTAATTCGTTACCTAATCATTTAATTAATGAAGCATACGATAACGTTTATAACTTCTGCAATTTAACTGAAAATGCAAAAAGTAATTTTGAAAATGCACGTAGTAGATATGCACATTTAATGACTTCTCCATTTGTTTTGGTGAAGATTCTAAAACTATATCAAAAGGAATATTATGATGAATATGTTTTGCCTTTATTACGTAAGCCAAAAATAACATTTGATATAAAACTTGATGACTCGTTTTTGATAACAGATATTAGACGCAAGGCTGAAAATCAACAGTATAAAAACAGTTCTGAAGTAATTGAGGATTTATCACGTGTAATCCGTTTTGTAGATTGTGGAAACAAATACTTCATTCAAAAGGACTATAATATCCACGATAAAATGAATCAAATATCATTCGTTCTTCAATCAAACATGAAAGAGTCACTCAAAATGATTAAATTATTTAAAGAAGAAGGTAAAACAATAACAGCATGGGATGTACTACTAAATCAATTGTCTTCATTAACCGTTAAGGGTGTTTGCTTTAAATCTGATTCCCCAGATGTTTTCTCAACGTTTCAGCGTTATAAATACAACATTCTCAAAAAGCCTGATTACTCAAAAATTGAGATGTTTATGAATTTCATTAAAGAAGCCATATGTGATAATAACGATGAAGTGTATAAATACCTTCTCGGCTGGATTGCATCAATGATTCAACATCCTGGAATCAAGAATGAAACAGCAATTATTTTGAAAGGACTTCAGGGAACAGGTAAAAACAGATTTACAGACATTATTTCTGAACTCCTCGCTGGTTATTCATGTAAAAACATTACTGAAATAAGTGAGCGAACGGGTAATTTCAACTCAGTTGTTGAAAATAAAATGTTTCTTGTACTTAATGAACTCAAGAATGTAGGTGAAGACAGACTCGCAAACTTCAACGCTTTGAAATCAATTATAACGGATAATGAGATTAGAATTAATGAAAAGAATCAACCCAGAAGAACTGCTCAGAACGTTGCAAACTTCATTTTCGTAACTAATAACGTCTACCCTGTCAAAATTGAAGTTGGAGATAGAAGATATGTAGTTTTAAGAGTTAATGGTAAATTTAAGGGTCAATTTGATTACTTCAAGAATTTGATGAATTCATGCACTAAGGAATTTTATGATAATTTACTGACGTATTTTATGCAATATGACCTTTCATCATTTAATGTACGAATCATTCGATGACTGAAGCCAAACAAGATTTAATTGAATTATCAACAAATCCTTTAGATGTATGGATAAATACACATTATGATGAATTGTGTGTAGGTATGACGTGTAAAAATGCTCTATTCTGCAAACCATCAGACATGAAAGACAAGAATTTCCAAATGAGTATTAAGGATAAATGTGATAAGAAACAGAGAAGAATAGATGGTAAACAGACATGGTGTTATGTTTTGAAAGAAGAAATGAAAGGATTATATAAACAGGTTGAACCAAACATTAATGAGGATTCATTTACTGACGATGAAATACCTGTAAATGATGCTTTATAAAGTATGATTGGAATTTATTTTTGCCTTCCTCCTGTGTTGTTGTCAAAATGTCATGTTGTCATCATTTTTCAGAGAAGTTAAATAACCGAGTGACACATAGTGACATAGTGACACCTTCAGTTCTTCAAAAATAAATAATTATTGAAGAACCTAAAAACATTAATGAGGATTCATTTACTGACGATGAAATACCTGTAAATGATGCTTTATAAAGTATGATTGGAATTTATTTTTGCCTTCCTCCTGTGTTGTTGTCAAAATGTCATGTTGTCATCATTTTTCAGAGAAGTTAAATAACCGAGTGACACATAGTGACATAGTGACACCTTCAGTTCTTCAAAAATAAATAATTATTGAAGAACCTAAAAACATTAATGAGGATTCATTTACTGACGATGAAATACCTGTAAATGATGCTTTATAAAGTATGATTGGAATTTATTTTTGCCTTCCTCCTGTGTTGTTGTCAAAATGTCATGTTGTCATCATTTTTCAGAGAAGTTAAATAACCGAGTGACACATAGTGACATAGTGACACCTTCAGTTCTTCAAAAATAAATAATTATTGAAGAACCTAAAAACATTAATGAGGAAGGCATTCATGAAGCATTAATGAAGAATACGAGTACATACAGTATAACAAACAGTTACGTCTCATTCGTTCAGTCAAAGATGACATGTACCAAATGCAAAAGCAATAGGTTTAATATTAAACTTACCTTTATAATATATACTTTCTACATAATCATCGAAATAAACATCTACTTGTTTAACATTTTCAAGAATTGGTGAAAGAACATCCATTAATTGATTGACGGTTACGAATCTTGATCCACTCATTTATCATTAAATAAAAAAATAAATTATTCAAAAATGTAAGACATGAATTTTTAAAGTTTATTTTCATTCATGAAATAATTATTTCTAATTTCTTTTACTCTCTCGTACATACTAGATTTAAAGAATTCAGAACATTTCCCATAATCTCCTAAATGTTTTCTTATCCCTAACGTGTGCCAGTTATTATATGAAACTGAATAAACTTTATCTTTATCTTTACACCTTTCATCACTTCCAATATATTTATATTTCAATTTTGATTTAGCATTTTCATATTCATTAACGTTTAATAATTCACAGTCTTCCTTTTTAAATAAATGTTTTATGTATTCAGGATTTAATACTCTACGTTTATATGCTCCTAACTTAGTTCTAAAGGTTTTTCTACAAAATTTAGGAATTCCATCCTCTTTAATGTCATCAATGATTTCCATTTCATTATTTTCAATTTCTTCTTCCCGTTTATGAGGTCTTTGATTATGACTCCATTGATTCCATGAAATTAAATATTCTTTATCATTATATTTATACCTCATTAGCTTATTTTGGCTTTCATATTCATTTAATAATTCACAATCTTCATTTTTAAATTGAAGTTTAACCCATTCAGGATTTAAACAATGTTTAATTAATCGCGGAATATCTGACATCATCTATATATAGCTTCTTTTATAAAAGATAAAAAAATAAATTATTTTAAAATTAATGTTAATTTTTTTTAATGTGTTTATAAATTATATTTTAATGCATCGTCTATATATAGATGTAACAAAAAAAGTCACTAAACCCTTTCACATATACTACTCAAGTTTTTTTTTCTGGATAAGATATTATATGGATAATTGGATAGAAAATACAATTATATAATCTTGTACCTGGTTTAATTAAGCTAATTGTCATCAGAAACTTGTAATTTTTATGAATTTCAGATTTTCTTTTCATTACTGCTTTTCTTAATAGGTCAAGTTCTTATTTACGTTATAAAGTATGATATTTACAAATATCAAGTTATCATGTTTTTTGAGAAATTATGAGAAACAAACAAAAATGAAAAAGATAGGAATAGCAATGAATAGTGATGTGGGTATAGAAAATGTAAGAGATATGAATGCAAAGCAATCAGTATTTAGGACATTGACCATAGATTTCGAAAAAAAAATGCTGCATATTGAGCGAAAACTATGATTATATTATAAGGCTGTCATTTAAAGCATAATGAAACTATTCCCTTTTCATTTTAATCGAATAAGATAGTAAAGATTTTTGAATTAGCTAGAAACTGATGAGATGTTTTCACAAATCAGATTTTTAATCTCTATAATGCATAATTCACTCAATATCTCAATTTTGATATTGCGAGATATTTTTGCTATCGGTTTCGCAATTTTGACACAATAGCAAGAGGGTTCTATAAGCATTATTATCAACGTAGAATCTGAATATCATATCAGAAAATGTCGCAAATCTGACATTTACCCGACCAAATAGCAAAAATAATTGAATACTTTTCGCAAAAACTTTAAAAATCGATAAAAATATGAAATATAGATATTAAAGAGACTTTTTATATAATATTCATAAAGATTTTCCAAAAATATGATACCGCAAAATTAAAAAAGTGACGTCTTGAGTGGAGTCAAAGGTCGAAATTGCTAGCTAAATGTTTTTTAGCGAAATTGCGTATTGTACGTTTTTTTCGCAAAACGAAACCCTTAAATTAAGTGACCAATTAAAATGAATTAAAGCTTTTAAGAGATTTGAATATGAAAAGTTATGCATTCAATAAAATTGTGTGAAATTTAATCGTGTTTTCATTATCAAAGTGGTTCAAAATTCTTGTTATTTCCCCAAGTAAACATTATATAAATGTCCAACAGTAAGGATGTCAATTTGGAAGAAAAGTGAGAAAATTCCTAAAATGCTAAAAATGAATTTCCAAACGTATTTTTTTATCTCATTTTTTTGATTTTGAAAAAAATTTGGAGAGAAGATCTCTTCGTTTTTGAATTTTGTCACGATGGTTTTAAAGTATATTAGACACATGTATTGATATTACTATTTTTGTATATTTTGAGAGAAAATCCCCAAAAAGTAAGAAAATCTAAGACGGTTTGAGAAAATATATAAACTATTGAAAATTTGAATTAAACTTCTAACGTCGGAAAAATAACTCCGTAGCATAAATTTAACTTGTAGCACCCGTATTTTTCAATAAAACTGGGTTATTTTTGATAGCCATACTACTCTACATCTGTTTATATGCATACAGCCGTGATGATACATGAAAATTCCAAACCTAAATTCTTAATTTCAAGATAATCATCAAAACTCAAGTTTGTATAATAAGCGTAGATATTGCATGCTTATCCAATATCCTCTTAATACACATAAAACATTTTGGTTAACTCGGCAAATTGAAGTTAATAAGAATCTAATTTTTGAGATATCGTTGGTAAAATCACCCCAAATTTCACCAGTGTGGAGCTCATCTGATATAGAGCAAATTCTATTTCAAAAGTTTGCTCATTTGTATTCAAAAATTCCTCTGCTACAAGTTAAAATTCCCACTTTTGGGTTATTTTTTCGACGTGAATTTGGAAAGAAGAAAATTCAAAAATCGAGATTTAGACTCAGCATCAAATGGAGAACAAAATGTTTCTTCATATGAAGGAAAAAAATTTTCTTGTGAAGAAATAGAGTTTTTAAAATTTTATTGTATGTAATGAAATAAACAAATATTAAAATTATTTTTTGATAACAAGAAAATTCCCAACAGAAAATATTTGAGACAAAGAAAAAAAGAAAATTGAAAAATATTACTCTTCTTTATATTTCATGAGATTTTAAATTTATTCTCATAAAATTGACAATTTTATACGTTTAGATGAAAATAAGTGATTTTGCTTGAAATAAAAGTTATTGTTTGCTTACAGCTATCAAATAGATTTTTGCTATTTTGATTAAAATTTGTTAATCAAATTAATAAATTTTTTCTAAATATCTTAAATATCTGGATCACTCACATATACAATGAATTGAACGATAAAAATAATACAAACTCAAATAAGTTTCCTGTTTTTCAACTAAAAAAAATTATGCAAAAAAGGTGACCAAACTATTTTTTGAAAGTCCGCCATAACTTTAATGGTACTATTTCAGCGTGTACAATGAATACAAAAATTCTAAGAGTGCCACATAAAATAGTACTTTAGACTTGAGTTAATGCTACCAAGCAAATGTTAAAAAGATGACTTTAGTGTTTTGATAATCAAAGATTAAAATCATTATTGTCTAAATCAATAATCATAACGACAGAAGTTAATGTTTTTTCATCAGTGCTTTAAATCCACTTTTAAAAGTATACCTCAAAAATCAAAATATCAAAAAAAAATTGGCCGATAGGTTTGGCTTTAATTTTTGTCTGCTTTTATGATTTGATATGGATGTTATAATTTTAAAAATTGAGCCAAATTCACCAATAGATTTTTGAGATTTGCAAATACTCAATAATTTTCAGCGTGTTATCTTTTATTAAAAGAACTATTTGGTTTCAGTATCATATAAATTGATATTTACTTTCTATTTGAACCTTCATTTAGCTAATGATTTAATAATACAGATTTCATCTAGTCCTTATAAGAGAATTTTGAATTTGTTATAATAAAAAAACAAACAGATATAGCTTACACTTCTATAATAAAGATACCTTTTATAGAAATCAGTATGAAATGTGTTTTGGCTTATTGGAAGCATATCAGACATAATCGCCATAATCAAAAAATCTATATACCCAATAAGTAATAAATTTGTCGATATAGATTTTCCATAAAATTAGTTTTTAGTCTGATCTTAAAATAAATTTAATTTTTTATAAAAAAAATCACATTTAAAAGTACCTTTTTAGTAGCTCGAAATCCTGTTGGTGGATTTCGGGCGTACTTCAAAATTAGCTTTTCTTCTACATATGCAAGCTATATTTTAAATATGGAGCAAATCGGATCGGCGAAAGTAGTTTAGTTACCTTTTTATGCAAATTAAATTAAATTAAATTGTTTATTCAAATATAAAACAAAGATGAAGTAATTACAGTTATCATAAACTTTATGAATAACTCTGTAATTGGTTCAGATTTTCGTAAAAATATTTTTATTAATATCGATAAGAATACGTTTACCTACTATCACAACATATCGATAAACAAGAGTAGAGTGATTTTTATCATCGAAACTTTTTAAAAGCTGTAAGCTGGAAGTAAAAATCTTGTTTTTTCTGAGTTAGTTGTAGAACTATTGATGTACGAGTTATCATTGTGATGTAGAAGGATGTCAATGTACTGACTGAAGGATATGAAGTGAATTGAATTTCATTGAATTTCAATTTGATCAAAATTTGTTGAAATGATATGAATGTGTCAACATCTGTATCACTCTCTTTCACACCTTCCCTATTCTTTCGAGAACGAAGCTAGCTCAGCTTTCGCTGAGCGAATTGACACTTTTGATGCCCTAAACGTACATATTCTCAAATTTATCGAAAAAATTATACCACCCAAACTAGTATATTCTTATTTTAAATATGATATTATCCTTAGAAATGATTTCTAAGAAATCACACTAGAATATATTTAAATCAACTTTTAAAAAAGTTCGAATCCTGCGCGTCTCACTTTTTAAATTTTCGAAAAGGAAAATTATATTCTCCTAAAATGAAAACAATTTTCCGAATTGACATCCTTACCAACAGATCAAAATTATTTGAAGAAATTAGATGTGAAGTGAATTTTTCTATAATCTTTTATTCATTCAAAAATTATTGCTCATAGAAATAAATAATCGTTAAAAGAGATAACTAATTCTTTGCTCATATCGGATATATTTTCGCATTTAATTTTATTTTTTAGGACTACAAAATTATTTTTAAAGTTAAAAACTATAATTTCGGATGTTAATGCTAAAAACATGCCTGCTTACACAACATCAAGTTAATTTCGCTGTTAATATTCCCGGAATATAATATTTTGTAGTTGAAATTCTGTTCTCTGTAGCATTTTTCATTTTTATGACTAAATATTATAACAAATTTCTTTCCTATAAAATTTCCATCATATTACTCAACTATTGTAATCCAATTGGACTCTGAAATTATCTTTTGTATTAAATTTTTCCTGCATTTTCCTTAGATGCTTCTGTATCGTTTACAAACTATCTGTGTATTTATTATCTACTTATAAACTTAAGATTTTATACATTATTCAGGGTTCAATTAAGAACATTGAAGTATAATACAAATTACTATAAAACTTATTACACTGTCATTGCTTGTCAATAAGCATATGTCCTTTTAAAAAAATCATTATGATTAAAAATAACAAACAAATTTTATGGATATTTAATGTTTTGTCTAATAAAAGCAAACATTTCTGTGAATGTATCGTTTTGAACTTCAAACTTCTTTGACAAAACAGACAAAGCAAAGGTATAACTTGTAAAATCTGTTGCAGAGTGTTCCAAACCTAAAGTTGGTGTATCTGGTTTAGGGGCATCAGCATAATGAATATCGTTAAGCTCATGTTCCAATGCTCCTGCGATAGCAGCAATAAATAAGATATACCAAACTTTGTAAATTGTATTTTGGGGAATTGGACCTGGATAAAACTCTTCTATTGTTTCTGCAATGTGAAGAATATAGCATCTCATGTCAATGGCCTTTTCTTTTGTTGGTTGGGCGTCTGCAAAGAAACCTTCAAAGAAAGACATACTATCATCAAGTAAATCTTGTAAAATCATCTTTGGAAGCTCTGGTTTATCAGCAAGTCTCAAAGAAACGTTGCTGACAAATAATGTCCAGCATTTCAACTGATCGCATACTTGACCAGTTGATTTACCATTCCATTCAATGGATGTAAACTGGCTGAATATGTAGCGACGTGAAAATGACCTTTGTTCTTCAATTAATTGTACATATGTATCGTCAATGCAGCGCTGAATAACTGGGAACGTTTGCATAAGAGGTGATGTAGATAGGACACAAAATTTATATAGTTTTTGCATGAGCTGTCCTTTAAATTCTTGCTGTGAAAACTTTTCTATTGTATTTTGGCATATTTCACGAAAAGTTGCTGGTGGTATCTTCAAGTTTCCATTACAAGCTTCGACAAGCCATACAAATCTGTGAGGGTCAAAATCTGGCAAATTTACAAAATTAACCAAGATTTTTTCTACAAAATTGAAATAGTCTTGGTTATTTGATTCGAACGTTGTAGAAAGACCGCAAGCTCTGACAAACCCTGCAACGCCATAAAAATTATCAATTAAATTTTCTTCATTCATTACATTCTTAAAGTCACAAACGTTTGATTCCATGAATGGTTTAATACCATATTCGAAGAGTGTTTCTGGAGTAAAGAAAAGTGAAACTAATTCTTGATTTTGTCGCATTGTTACGCGAATGCTCATATTTGCTTGAGTATGGATAATGTTCCATAGTTCTTCCTTTGAAGAAACAACTTCAGAGAGTCTTTGGAACCAAACTTTGAAATCTTCGAAAATATTTGCGATTTCTAAATTCTTTAAGATATGAGATATTGCGGATTTCTTCATTGTATCGAATGCTGTTGAAAATGCTTCTGGAATTTCATATCTGTTCTTTTCATTGAATTTAATAAGTTGTTTGAAAAGGTATTGGAATTGCACCCACTGGCTATTTAGTAAGTATTCCTCGCATTCCTTAACTCGGCTATTGCAGTTTTCAAGCTTGACATCGCCAGATGGTAATTCCTCGACAACTATATTCATTTTTTTAGAATTTATATAAACTACACAGGCGTAACGTGCAAATTATAGTTTATCTGTTAGTTTTCGATAGGACAATAAAAAGGGGAAAAAACCCTTTTTTAGACCAAAAAAGTGGCACCTGAGTATATTGTTTCTGCTTTATCTGATCATTGAAACGGAATTGATCCACGTTGTTAGTATGGAACAATGATATACTAGAGATCAAAGAATATTAATATTGCAAAAATCTAATTATTCGATGTTCAACTCAAAATATCTTGCATTAAAGTTGATACATTTATTTTTTCGAAATATTACAACAGTAGCAACCCTGTGTATTACCGATGATAACCAAAGTGTTATTTTGGCATAAAAAATTTAAAACTATATTGAAACAACAGATAGACTAGTCATCCTGGTATAGTATTATGCATACTATCAGGTGATAAAATCTCAAATATCTCAGCTTAACTTCCGTTTGATTATGAGATCTATTGTTGCTTGTTCTGTAGCCATAGTCACTAATTGATAACATTATTATGATAAGAAGTCTAAATGTACGAATTTATTATACATTTGATTTAGATTTATTATCGAAATGCAAATCACAATATATATCTTGAACCCATCTGTGAATAAAATCATGATATTATTGATTGTTTTCTAGATATTTACAATAGTTTCTAAACATGCGAAGATGATCCTTAATTTTGAACCAGAATTAATTTTATATTACTAACAATGGCTGGTTCTCTATATAGAATTATATATTATTTTTGATAGTAAACTATGATTGATTTATAATTTTGGAATATCTACTTCTTTTCTATATCTTTGAAAAATAGTTATTTGATTTTGCTCTATAATTGACATATTTTAGTAGAAAAATTATAGAATAACAAAAATAAAAAGGCTTTATCGATTTATTGCACAATGAAAATGTTTTTGTTCCTCTGTAAATTTTAAATTTTTTAAAAATTTAACCTCATTTTCCAAAAAAAATTGAGAATTGAAAAAAACGTTATCATTTTCTTCAAAATTGCTTAGGCATTTTCTAAAATGGAAAAATTTTGGAGAAATTCACCAAGGAGAACTTCGTTCTAGGTGTCCAAAGAAATTGCTTTCAGTCAAAAAAGTCTCGAAATTTTTAAATATTGATATTGATTTTCATCAATCACTTGATATCGCTTGATTGCAGTCGATATTATCATATGTTATTAAATTCTAATATATTTGAACACACTGCAAATCGTTTTCGAAACTTATCAAAAAATCACACAATTTAACAATACTCCATCTATTATACACAGTTGCTATTACCGTATTCTCATTTTAAGAAGCAAGGATTATTAAAATCTATGATCTAACGATTTATTTACCCAATTCGAAAATTTTTTTCAAATATAAATCCTTATTTGTGCATATTTTATATGCAGATGTAGAAAGAAAAACGAGTAAAGTGTCACTTCAAAAAAATACCGGAAAGTAGCCTAATCAATAAACAATTTCCTTTTTAAACATCGAATTTTGCTCTTCTTGAGCCATATTTTTCGTTTAGTTTTCATAATACGATAAAACATATGCGTTATCAAGTAAAATATGTATATTTTAGAAGATCATAATATATCTCGAAAACAAATGAAAGCCATTCTATGAGTCCATACACACTATTACTATACTTCATATGTCAAGCATAATTAGAACAATTTTGATCAATACCTTTGTTGTCGACGAGGTCCCCCCTTTTGGACAATATTATTAATTGCCTAAAAACAATTCAAATTTAACTAAATATAGATGGAAGACCAAAAATTTTGTTACGGGGGCGACCAATACCAATATTTCACTATTTCTGACAAAATTTATTGCATCAAAATCATAGTTTAGCTTGAAAATCCTCCAAAACTAATCATCATGTCTTTCAACTTTGGTATTATATGACTAGCATATACTCTATCATATAAAACTATCAAACACATTTGTTAATAAATTAATGATTGTCATTGAATATGAGTGAATCAAATAGTTAATAATTGCTTCAACATAAAATAGTATCAACTGAAGAAAGTTTAGCTGTGAATTCTTAAAAATGAAGTATTCTGTATCGTATTCATTATACCAAATATAATATTGATGAATATATACCTTTGTTCATATATAATTTATATATGATAAATCTATTCTAGTAAAATTTTTGAATCATATATGAATACGCTTATTATTACCAAAATTATAATATAATTTATTTTTACATTGTTTGTTGAATAAACAATTAAGGGTTTCGTTTTGCGAAAAAAACGTACAATACGCAATTTCGCTAAAAAACATTTAGCTAGCAATTTCGACCTTTGACTCCACTCAAGACGTCACTTTTTTAATTTTGCGGTATCATATTTTTGGAAAATCTTTATGAATATTATATAAAAAGTCTCTTTAATATCTATATTTCATATTTTTATCGATTTTTAAAGTTTTTGCGAAAAGTATTCAATTATTTTTGCTATTTGGTCGGGTAAATGTCGGATTTGCGACATTTTCTGATATGATATTCAGATTCTACGTTGATAATAATGCTTATAGAACCCTCTTGCTATTGTGTCAAAATTGCGAAACCGATAGCAAAAATATCTCGCAATATCAAAATTGAGATATTGAGTGAATTATGCATTATAGAGATTAAAAATCTGATTTGTGAAAACATCTCATCAGTTTCTAGCTAATTCAAAAATCTTTACTATCTTATTCGATTAAAATGAAAAGGGAATAGTTTCATTATGCTTTAAATGACAGCCTTATAATATAATCATAGTTTTCGCTCAATATGCAGCATTTTTTTTTCGAAATCTATGGTCAATGTCCTAAATACTGATTGCTTTGCATTCATATCTCTTACATTTTCTATACCCACATCACTATTCATTGCTATTCCTATCTTTTTCATTTTTGTTTGTTTCTCATAATTTCTCAAAAAACATGATAACTTGATATTTGTAAATATCATACTTTATAACGTAAATAAGAACTTGACCTATTAAGAAAAGCAGTAATGAAAAGAAAATCTGAAATTCATAAAAATTACAAGTTTCTGATGACAATTAGCTTAATTAAACCAGGTACAAGATTATATAATTGTATTTTCTATCCAATTATCCATATAATATCTTATCCAGAAAAAATAACTTGATCAATACCAAATGATTTTTTAACTAGTAAATAAAGTATTTTCTTTACACACACATTGTATATCATAGTTTTTTTTTTGGTTTCGCAAAACATCCAAAAACAAATATGCTATAAAAGTGACAATTTTAGCAAAACAAAACCCTTAAAACAATACATTTTAGGTAATATTTATTACATTGTAATTGAGATATTTTGGAATAATTACTTTAGAATATCTCATGCTTAACTATGAGGGTATTTATTCAAGTTCAATTATCGCTCATATATAAATCATTCCATAACTTTGATTTTCATTATAATTTTTAAGCATTTGAAGCATTATCACAATATAAATCAGTTTTGATGTAAAATATTTATCTATTTGTATATTATTACACAATAAAAAGCATTTTTGGCGGAAATTTATTACATTATACTAAATGAATAAATTTATTCATTAATTCAAGAGAGATTTGCAATAAGTGTACTAAACTAAACATTATATTGAATGATTGCATTATACTTATATAATAATCAATAATCAATTTTTATATAATCTTCAGACTTCTCCATCAAGATAGAACATGATAGTATGGAGTATGCTCTGATGAATGGTATACATAGAAGTCCCAGAAAATGATTTTTCTAAAAAAAAGGCATTATTTTTTCGCACCATGCGAAATAAGGAGTTCAACTATTTCTTCATAACGAAACAATGCTGCATAATGAAGTGCGGTTTTTCCATCGTTATTTTTTTCATTGATATTAACACCATGTGAAATAAGAAATTCAGCAATTTCTTTACTATTACTCCAAGCTGCAATATGAAGTAAGGTATATCCATTATCATTTTTTTCTTCAATATTTGCACCATGTGAAATAAGAAGTTCGGCTGTTTCTTTACTATTATGCCGTGCTGCATCCTGAAGTGCGGTTTCTCCATAATCATTTTTTTCATTGATATTTGCACCATGTGAAATAAGAAGTTCGGCAATTTCTTTACTATTATGCCGTGCTGCAATATGAAGTGCGGTTTCTCCATAATCATTTTTTTCTTCAATATTTGCACCATGTGAAATAAGAAGTTCGGCTATTTCTTTACTATTATGCCGTGCTGCATCCTGAAGTGCGGTTTCTCCATCGTTATTTTTTTCATTGATATTAGCACCATGTGAAATAAGAAATTCAGCAATTTCTTTACGATTTATTCCAGCTGCAATATAAAGTGCGGTTTTTCCATCGTTATCTTTTTCATTGATATTCGCACCATGTGAAAGAAAGTATTCCAAAAGGGATGGAATATTAAAAATCGGTGAACAAACAAAACATTTGTTTATATCATTAGTTTGATCGAAATAAACTAAATAGGATTCAAGATTATTAAAGATTCCACAATATTCTAAATCGATCTCTATATTGTATTCATTCATCAAGAATGTAACAAAATCAATGTTATGTGAAATAATTGCATATTCCATGCATTTTTCATTTGGTTCTTGATGTTTCAAACATTCACTCATGATCTCTTTGTTTCTTCCTAAAAATGAAAATCTGAGACATTTTTGAGTTATTTCTGAGCTGAATTTTGTTCTTAATAACTTGAAACAATCAACTGCTCCATGGTAACAACATAATTCAAATAATGAATATCCTTTGCCAGAATATGGATATAAATCGCTTTTAAGTTTTTGATCTTTATCAAATCCATCTATTTCAGTGAATGTGATGAATCTTTCTAAGTCATTATTCATGATTGCTCTGTAAATTGTATCTTCTGTATGAATATCGATGTTTTCTGGATAATCTTCTTCAAAATTGTCAGATTTGTCTAATTTAATTCCATATTCTTTATAAAACAGGATGTTTGGAAGATACATGAGATGGTTGAATTCTTCCACATGATATTCATCATAAATGAGTTTTGCAAGGAATAAATATGACTTTGCATAGCGATTGTTGTACAGAATGATACTTAAAATATCGTTCATAATTATTTGAGGTGGAAATTTCTTTGAATCAATCAATTCTGTTTTGATCATTTTGTAAATCTTGTTTAATTCTTCTTCGTTGTCCGTTTTTAGCTGATACAATGCAATATATGAATCGATGTAGTACTTATAGGTACTTCGCAATTTGTTGTATTTGCTTGGATGAACGTCTTGGTCGGACATTAATATTTTTTTTATTTCTATATATATATATATAGTGTTTAAGTGGGGAACTTTGATATTTTTTTCCACACCATAGTAGTTTCACTTTTTGCATATGAACTCTATATTGATTCTGGCTAGAAACTAGAGAAATTAAAATTCTCAGGCATACGATTATTTTTGATTCAAATGCTATTCGGCATTAAAAGCAAAAATAATCATATACATGAGAATTACACTTTTCCGACATTTTTTGGGTCGCTTCGCGCCCCTGACAAAACGTCGGAAAAGTGTAAATTTTTCAATTTTTGGCCCATTAAAAGTACCTTTTTGAAAATAAAAAATATTTTTATTAATTATGTGTGATCTTCGACATATATTCATAAAATCAAGTGATTTGGAGTGATTGGCAAAAAAATCTTGTTGGAAAAGACACATTTGCATTTTACCATATAAAATACTCCTTAAATTTATTGTGAAAATAAAATACTATACTATACATGTGGAAAACAATGATCATAAAGATTTCGGATTTAAATTATGAATTTTGATTAAGTCCATGGATATGAAATGATGAAGCAGCAATGGAAAAGCCGATAACGATAGAATTTTCATCAAGATACTTGATTTATTCAATATTTTTTTGCCAATCATTCTAAATCAATTGATTCTTGGAATATAGATAAAGGGATATATTTAATTAATAAAACTATTTCGATCAATCTCTTTTTTCAGCCAAAGAACAAGCATATCAGGTTTCTAATTGTCCGAAAGAGTTAAATAAAGTTTTATGATCTACAGTGTGAAGATGTAAACTTACCACGATTCTTTAGTTCATAAAATCAAATTTGTTAAAATATAATTTCTAACTTCAGGTGGCTACGCTTGCCCTTTGGGCAAGCATGCCACCTCCGGCAAAATAAACATGTATTGATTATAGGAAAAGTATTTATTCAAATAAATTTGAGTGGGTTTAATAAACGCTCTAAAGCAATAAAGCTTGAAAATTCAGTTCAGGGTTATATTTAATCAGAAATGGCAGAATATTCCTTAGAATTGAATTTTGAAGTATTGATATACAAAATTTTTGAAATTTTACTTTCATTCATTGATTTAATTCTAAATTCCAATGTCACTAGTGAATTTGTAGTATGTTATCACCATAAACGTAAAAAAATGCAATACTATAATACCCTCAATTTTTGACTTTTGCAACTTTTTCATGACCCCCTGCCCAGGTATCTAAAATACCATTTATCGCCTGAAAAGCACCCTTAATTTATGCCAATTGACAAAATAAAGATATGTTTAGAATGCTGATATGATGGAGAATCATGCTGCATCATTATTGGCCAGCAATATATAATATTTAAGAAATCTACGAGATTATCTGATTTCATGAAACTCAATGTATACTAAGTTTCAGACTTTGAAATTTTAACATGTTGATATGGGTACATAGGGTTTATGATTCCAGTCATTTATTTAAAAAATTACAAAAATGAATTAATATGATGTGAGTAACAATGGTAATAAACGCTTAATTACTAATATATTATTTCTTGGTAGGAATGAAATGTTTTGGTGACATTTATAGAAGTTAAGCTGAGAATCAAAAATGCAAAAATTATTTTAAATATTACAAGCATTATTTGATGTCATTGAGTTTAGAGTCGTGTAGATATATGAGTACAATATGTTATTGATGTATATATGCAATAATTGTGAAAATGAAATGTGAATCTCAAGATGAGTTGCATGTTACTGCGCTATAATTTGAATTCAATACGTACATAACATTACTAAATGTATTTTAAGATAATACAAAAAATTAAGCTTGCAAAAAGATATCGAAATGTAATTTTCATTAGATTCAAAGTTCTGAATAGATTTTGATTTTAACTATTGATGAGTTTGTCAAACCTCTATAATAATAGAATGTAGAACTAATTAAATATAATTAATAAAAAAATACAAATTTAAGTGATATTATAAGAGATATATGTGATGTTACCAATATGATATGATATTGGAGAACTGATAGAATTGTGATGTGAGACTAAATATGATTTTATTATGAATAGGAGAATAATATTAGAAGAATTTCTTGAATTTAATGTATCTGAATATGTAATTGGGCATATATTCTATATATATATTGGTAGGTTAACTAGAAATAAGAAGATGAAAGATTGTTAATGAATAATATGAGATTAAGCGAAAATATATTGTTCTAATAGATGAGTGTTGAGATCCAATATATATGAAGAGGGATATGTGAGAGGAAATATGTATATTTAATAAAATAAGCGATGAGAGAAAAAATAACAAAGATTTATATGAAATTTTGAGTATTGAAAAAGCTCGATTAGTGATTTTATGTCTGTTAAAGGAATAGATATTCTAGGAGAAAGATAAATTGAATTAAAGAAGAATAAAAAAAGTTGATTAAGATTGATAAAAATATTGAATTGTATGACAATGGAAAGAAGGAATAAATTGGTGTTGGTATGACGGTATCATTTCGGGAGACATTGCCTCTGCATGTCTCCCAGAATGGAACAATGTTCCGCATTGATAACTTGAACGCGGAAGTTTGACCGACAAGAGTGTATTGTGCACTCCTGTCGGTCGCAGTGTCTCATTCTGGGAGACATTGCCTCTGCATGTCTCCCAGAATGGAACAATGTTCCGCATTGATAACTTGAACGCGGAAGTTTGACCGACAAGAGTGCATTATCCAATCTTTTTTGTCATATACCTCAACCCACAAAGACAAAACCTTACATAAAATAGGTAAACTTTGGTTTTCACTTAATAATGTTTATTTTTAATTTTTTGTTCTTTATATAACTTTTTCTTCTACTAAACTATTTTACAGACTCTACTGAGCTATCCTCACATATATACCTGTGACAATAACACATATATACTCCCTTCATATTCTGATCTCATGACATATTACAGCACAAACTATAATTATACAACATACCTCATAAAGTCTGATTTTACCCCTATCTAAGCGTTCAAAACCTATTTTTCCCGCGTAATCTGATTCTTCTGGCTCTGCTGATTCGATTTCTGCTGTCAGATCGTGAAAATATGCATCACACAATGAGATAAACACAAAATACACAACTTAATATTTTCCTTAAAATTTCTCTTCAAGTTCATACTGAAACAACATCTTTTTTTGAAAATACAATTTTTTCAAAAAATGTATGAATTCAAAAGTGCATACTATATCTAGTCATTACCCAACATTAATTTTGTATTTTAGTTTTTAAGATATTCATTTTATTATACGTCTTATTCAGAAAATTAAATATATTTGTGAGGGAAAACGGAGGAAATAATAAATATGTCAAGATCGAGGAATTGACAATTTTAAGGAAAATATTAAGTTGTGTATTTTGTGTTTATCTCATTGTGTGATGCATATTTTCACGATCTGACAGCAGAAATCGAATCAGCAGAGCCAGAAGAATCAGATTACGCGGGGAAAATAGGTTTTGAACGCTTAGATAGGGGTAAAATCAGACTTTATGAGGTATGTTGTATAATTATAGTTTGTGCTGTAATATGTCATGAGATCAGAATATGAAGGGAGTATATATGTGTTATTGTCACAGGTATATATGTGAGGATAGCTCAGTAGAGTCTGTAAAATAGTTTAGTAGAAGAAAAAGTTATATAAAGAACAAAAAATTAAAAATAAACATTATTAAGTGAAAACCAAAGTTTACATATTTTTTGTAAGGTTTTGTCTTTGTGGGTTGGGGTATATGACAAAAAAGATTGGATAATGCACTCTTGTCGGTCAAACTTCCGCGTTCAAGTTATCAATGCGGAACATTGTTCCATTCTGGGAGACATGCAGAGGCAATGTCTCCCAGAATGAGACACTGCGACCGACAGGAGTGCACAATACACTCTTGTCGGTCAAACTTCCACGTTCAAGTTATCAATGCGGAACAGTGTCTCATTCAAGGAGCCCTCGAAAAGAACCTCACATCGACTCTCTCTTTCCGGCATCTTTACCGCATAGAAAACTGCTCGTTCGCAACTTTGTGGGCAATCTAAGAGATGATTGCGGTAAAGATGCCGGGAAGATTGACGCTGCAGCAGAGAATCACTACGGCTCTCTTTTACCGGCATCTTTACCGCATAGAAAGCTGCTCGTTCGCAACTTTGTGTGCAATCTAAGAGATGATTGCGGTAAAGATGCCGGGAAGATTGATGCTGCAGCCCCAGGCCGCACTCAGATTTCATCCCGCTACACAATTGTTCATCCAACAACTGTCATAGAGGTTGAAATTTTCGACCAGAAGTGAAACATATCATTTTTAAGACTGCGGCGCGCAAGCAAGTTTGAACCTTTCAAGGGTGATCAGTCCTTTACTCATTTCAAGACCTCTTGTTGCCTGATAAAACGATACTTCCTTCCTTGTGGGCCATTGAAAACCCAAACCGTCACAACTTGCTTCCTAAATTTTATTTGCGGAGTAATTATCATGCATATTTTATCGGATAATAATATCAAAGCTAAATTTCATATTATTTTTTAAAGATATGCATTTTCTGTCTAAATTTATTTTTTCTGTTTCCAATTCACGGAATAATATTCTTACAAGCATATACATAGCTAATATATATCATTTTAATAATAATAAAACCAAAATGATGTATTCTTCATATAGTTATTTAAAATTCGTTAACTAGAATTGTATTCAGAACGAGGCAAAGTTAGGAGATACATAAAAACCAATAACTTGATAAGTGATACCTTTTTTCCTGATATATCTATATGTGTTAATGTCAAACACGATTTGGAAAAATTAATTCTTTAAATCGGCTTAAGAATAAGACCAACATCAAAAGCATGGCTAATAAATTAATAAATCAATGTTTAATTACCGATTCATGCATTTTTTTCAAAATTTCAAATTTCAAATTTTTGTTTCTCCAAAATATTAATTGTTTCCACTAGATTAACAAATAAACAATAAATTGGATTAATGTAATGCCCAATCATTCATTTTAAATTTTAGATTTAAAACAATATTTTTCTCCATATTATTATAACATGAATCGCTATGATATAAGAAATATATTTTCAATATTGAAATTGAAAAATTCTAAAATTTTTGAAATTCAATTTGAGTGTGATGATCGATAACATATATTTTTTAATTAAAATCTTGTGTCGCTATCATATAAATATACTATTTCTAAATTAAAAATAGAAAAAAAAGTACTATTTAATGATGAAATTGCAAATAATATCAATATATATATATTCATGCTGATATATTTTGGGAACAGATTGGCAATCAAATAAATAGGATTGTGTTAGTTTGTCATGGATATAAAACAAATTTTCGAGCTAATTGAGCGAATTTAAATCACAAACACTTATATTTTCTATTACAAGGTATATTTGTAATATACAACCAGTAAATAGCTTTCTCTAACTTTTACCAGCTTAGATGATAGCAAATTAGATACGAATTTCATGACCCCTCACCAAATTCCACTAAAACATATACAAATAAAAGTACTAAGCGGGTATCATCTAACCCTAGAATTATAGCTCCTAGGACTCATCCTAGATGGTAGTTCTGGAAAAACACCTGGTTTTTGGAGTTGCAAAAGTTAAAAATTGAGGGTATTATTGGGTCTCTTTTTCAATAAAATCATAATGCCCAAAACAATTTGAAGTGATTGGTATTTCTAATATTATCTGGAAATCTATCGATAACTAATTGCATAAGTCTGATATAGTAATGCTTTTCGATATTATTAAGTAAATAAATAGTCCACATATAAATATTTATAAAATAAACTCTATTATTTCTTTACTTATTTTTATTTCTTAAACAAAGGATAGTTGCAAAGTTCGTTCACATCAAAGAAGGATAAGTCTTCTTCATCCATCTCCATTTCATCATCATTTGACATGTTTTCCTTGAGAACTTCAATATTTCTGAAGCAAATCTCAAGAATTTCATCTCTTTTTCCAGCTAATTGTGGCAAATTTTCAAAGTTTTTGAAAACAGAAATTGCAGATCTTAAAAATGCTGCAGGACGAGTATTTTCTATCCAAAACGTGTAGAATGTTGGGTATTTGACTAATATCGATGGATCAGTTGTTGCCATACTTGCAACTATGTCGTGGATTTGCAAATCCCAATCAGCCAAATTTTCGCTAATTTCTCCAATGAATTCCAAAGCGAAAGAAGAATGGCAGCATCTAACAAATATTGCTTGGAACACTATTATTAAATACTCCCAGTAATTGTCGCAAAACTCTTCTTCATCAGCCAAAAGTGAAGTGGCAATTTCGTAAATTGGATTTGTCACTTCTTTTATTTCGAAAGAATCAGGGAATTTCAAAGCCAAAACTTTGATTGCAGGAGAGATTGATTCGATCAACGCATCATCATCTTCAAAGAACTTCTGTAGCATTGACGGAATCTGCATCAATTCTTCATTAAACGCTGGAGAATATGAAATACAAGTACACAAAATAGAAATTATTTCTTCAGCGTAATTCGAACTACAATTTGATTCATAGAGCATTTCATTGACTTGTTGCATGAGCAATGAAACGATTTGGTTTGCTGTTTCTTCATTCTTCTCTTGTGATTTGGCTACTTTATCAATAGCCCTTGTTATTGTCGAAACAGAAACATGTGCTTCCGCGGAATCTTCGTCAATATATTGTTTGAACATTTGTATCAAATTCGTCGTGTATTCAATTGAAAAACTTTGAAGAGCAGGAGCGAAGAAGTTGGTGAAATTAACAAGACTGTCGGCCATCCATTGCGTTGGGTATTTCTCGTTCATTTCGAACACTTTTTGGATAATTTGGTTGATCGATTCCCCAATGTTTTCGAAAATTTCTGATTTTGATTCTGAAACTTCGAAATCTTCGAAAACACTCAATGTATTACAAAGAGAACAAAGTGTTATGTAGGCAACAATGTCATTGTCTGTTTCGAGGAATACATTGGATAAAGGAACAACCAGTTGGCCGGCAATTTCGATGTTTTTGTAGCCAGTGAAGAAAACAACTCCCGCTAAGAAAGGCATCAAATCTGTTGAGGAAAGACATTCAAATGCCAAGTTTTGGATGAAGGAAATGTTCTCTGAATCACCTTCTGAGAAAAATGAGGCTACTTTCGAGAGAATGAACATAATTGAGTAAACAATGTTCGAATCTGAGTACTCAAGTTGAGAAGCAACGCTCAAAACGGAACTGGCGATTCTGTGTCCTCCAGCGGATAATGCAGTCGCTGCAGCAGAGGCTGGGGACTCCTTTTCTTGGGGTGATGGAAAAATTAAGTCTAAAAGTTGGGTAACATCGAGATTTGATACATCGGCTGGAGGCAGAAATGTTGGAATAAATATTTGGAGGATGATATGGTCGATCATTGGCTCAATAACGGAATATGGAATATCATATGTAAGAAAAATCTCCAAAATGTTGAAAGCATATGTCATAGCAGGATACGATGCTGTTCTTTCGGTCAAAATATTAAGAATTGGCTCTACAATTGGAGAAATGAAATCTGTAGTGATTTCTGTTCCTTCTTTAACTGTTAGAGGGGCAAGGATTGCATCTGTTAATGATTCATACAAATCGTTTGAAAGTTCGGCTTCAGATGTAAGTAATCCTGCTGAAATTGTGTAAATTGTTGAAATTATTTCCTCAGATACTGCATCTATTGAACTTTTAACGACTAACTGCTTAAATGAACGCATGACGCATGTAACTATCTGCTGAAAATTAGTATATTCTGTAATATCCTGTGAAGTTATGAATTCAATTGCCAAATTGAGTGCAGGAACGATCTGATCGTAATACTCGTGTTCATTTATTTCTAATTTCGTTAATTCATCAAGTATCATGAAACCAGATAAGAGGCCAGATTGAATACTCGAAATTATGAACTGTAAAACTTGTTCAAACATAGCGTGTTTAATAAAATATGATAATATTTCATCAACAATGAAGAGAAATGTGCTCTGAACGACTTGTGAAGAATTATTAAAAATCTCTGAAATGGATTCAAGAGAAAATTGTTGCATAAGCTCTTCATTTTCATGAAGGAGTAAACGTAGTTGTGTTGTTGCTGCTTGTTTAATAACATCATTTTGATTTGAAGTAATAATCGAGATTATTTTATCAAAAAAGTCTGATGATCCTCTCATTTGCTTCAAATTCTCTTCTGCTTCTGAAACTTGGGCTGTTGTTGTCTGTCTCAGTGTAGAAATGATTAAATCCTCAGAAATCATTTTGATTTTGACGATAAAAATTCAAAATTTTACAAATACACATCATAATATTTGAGTTTTAGTATGCTGAATGATAACATGATTCAATGATACATCTAAATATAAGGAGATAAATAGCTGTTTATTTAGTTTTTCCCTAAATTTGAAACAAAATTTGTGTTTCTTTAGGAGATTTCATATATTAAGTATTAAGAAACCAATAACTTAGCCTATGACCATGTAAATATGCTATAATAGATGTAAAATGAACGATAAAAAACAAAATTTATTAAATAATAAGGCATAAATACATAAACTAACAAAAATATTAAACGAACCGATCGATTGCAGGTGATAGATTCTCGCATGATGGAGGAACAGGATAATATAACTGGTCCATATTAAGATTTCCTGTTTGTAAGAGTTCTATCAACCTATTTGCGCATAAAACCATTCTATCTATATCGCACGGCATTGCTTCTATAAAATCATGGCCAAATTTCTTATGACCAACACCGATCATGTAAATATTGCTAATTGCAGCAACATGGATGTTCGGCATGTCCATCATGAACGTCATCATTACTAAAATTCCGGTTTTTTCTTGCATAAAAATTGAATTGTAAATTCCGGATCCAGAAGGAGTTACAACCATTTTAATGGTACTCCATCGCTTAACTGTTGCATTAAAATCACTAACGTTTGAATCTTCGATGATCCATTTCTGACCTTCGTCAATTTTAGTTTTTTCTGTTAAAGCTTGGAGTAATTCCTTGATATTATGTATCAAGCGAGTCTTCCCTGGTCTGTTGATTATGCAGAATTTGTATGGCTTGATTCCGTTCAATTGAAAACGATTAAATACGAGTTTTCTTAATCTTTGAAAACCACCTACGCTATATCCGTGTGCATAGTGCGTAGTACCTAAAATATATAATTCATCGACTAAAACTTGATTTCCATCGCCTAAATCTAATAATTTAATTTTATCAGCCAAACCGATGTTATAAAGGAAATCATAAGTAGCTGCATAGCCTGTACGTAGTGTGGGAACAACAAATCCCCTGTCATATATCTCCTTTGGGACAAACATCATTGCATTAATAAAATCGTGTACCATATGGCCCCAATGGTACCAGACTTGTGTGTAGTAAACGCCAATTGGATAATGCCCGATGGTCTTTTTTTGTTTAACGGTAAAATCTTTAAATTGCTCTTTATAAGTCATAATTTGGAAATTTCTTGTAGCAGGTGTTGAAGATAAGTACGCATTTTTAAATAATGTAATGTATACAATTGATCGAGAAAGTGTATCTGCGGGAACTTCGACTCGGCAAAGAAATTCGCCATTATGCATAACAACTGTTCTATTATAGTTCGAAAAATTTACAAAATCGACAACTTCTTCCATCGAATCGTAGTTTAAATTGAAAAACCAGCGAAATCCTGTTAGATGATTTTGAAATAAAACTTCATCTCCTGAAACTGAAGTCTTTAGTGGCACGCAGGTTAATCTATTGCTAATGTAAATAAATGACATTATAAACAATAGCGGATAAATTGATAAATTAAACCCAGAATTCAAATTTTTCATGCATACAACTCTTTGAAAATTTGTAAGAAATTCTCAAAATGAATTATGTTATTTGGTTATTTTAGATCTCTTTTATGGTTGATTTTTAATATAATACTAAAGCATTGAAAGTAATTTCAAGATATTAGTAGTATATGTTGAAGGGTTGTGTGACTTTTTTGTAAACGTAAGAATTCATACAATATTGAACGATTTTGTATCATTTTTTTTAACATATGAAGTAAAAAATGTATGATTCTTACGGTTTTTATTCTTACGTTTTTGAATAAATCAAGATTTAAAAAATTTTCAAAATTGTAAGACATTTACACTCAGCCCATACATAATGAAATAAAAAATAATTTTTTAAAAAAAATAAACCATTAAAAAATTAACATTAATTTTAAAATAATTTATTTTTTTATCTTTTATAAAAGAAGCTATATATAGATGATGTCAGATATTCCGCGATTAATTAAACATTGTTTAAATCCTGAATGGGTTAAACTTCAATTTAAAAAGGAAGACTGTGAATTATTAAATGAATATGAAAGCCAAAATAAGCTAATGAGGTATAAATATAATGATAAAGAATATTTAATTTCATGGAATCAATGGAGTCATAATCAAAGACCTCATAAACGAGAAGAAGAAATTGAAAATAATGAAATGGAAATCATTGATGGCATTAAAGAGGATGGAATTCCTAAATTTTGTAGAAAAACCTTTAGAACTAAGTTAGGAGCATATAAACGTAGAGTATTAAATCCTGAATATCTTAAACATTTATTTAAAAAGGAAGACTGTGAATTATTAAACGCTAATGAATATGAAAATGCTAAATCAAAACTGAGATATAAATATATTGGAAGAGATGAAAGGTGTAAAGATAAAGATAAAGTTTATTCAGTTTCATATAATAACTGGCACACGTTAGGGATAAGAAAACATTTAGGAGATTATGGGAAATGTTCTGAATTCTTTAAATCTAGTATATACGAGAGAGTAAAAGAAATTAGAAATAATTATTTTCATGAATAAAAGATTCACTACCATAATGAAATAAAAATTTTTTTAAAAAAATAAACCATTAAAAATTCATGTCTTACATTTATGAAAATTTATTTTTATTTTGTATGAAACCGATTTTAAAAATTTATGAATAATTTATAAAAAGTTTTTATTCCTACAATTCCTATATTACCATTAATAAAAAGAATATATTTTATAATAGTTTCATTTCGAACATGTTAAAATTTATCTGCATTTCGAAAAATTTTATTATAAATGATAATATAATTTATTAAATTAATATATAACTTATGAATTTTTACTTTTTGTATGAAATAAAATTTAGTATTAATAAAGTTATAAAATAAATTGGTGCATGTTAGATGTAAATAAGATATAAAAAAGGTGTTTATGAATACTTTAGCAGAACTTCTACTGGTAGAGTTTATACTGGCAGAACTTCTACTGGTAGAGTTTATACTGGCAGAACTTCTACTGGCAGAACTTCTACTGGTAGAGTTTATACTGGCAGAACTTCTACTGGCAGAACTTCTACTGGTTATATATGGTGTCAATTTTTTAAAAAATTTTGAATTCAATGAGTTATATCAAAAATAAAATTCTTGAATAGAGTAAAAAAATTTAAATAATTTATTTAAATATAGGGTGTCCAAAGGTGTGTTTAGCACAAACCTGAATACTGCGAATAGAAATAAACAAGTTACATATATATAAAGTTTATTTAAATATAATCACCATTGGATTCAATCACGCGTTCGCAGCGATCGATCCAGGCTTGAAAGACACGCTTTAAATCATCATGAGAAAATTGCTCAAATTGCTCTCTTACAAAATTTTCAAGATCATCTGGACTCGCGAATTCGCGTCCTTCAGCTCTCTTTTTTAGCGTGCCGAATAAATAAAAGTCAGAGGGTGCAATATCAGGTGAATAAATTGGGTTTGGAACAACTTTGACATTGTTTTCCAACAAGTAATTCATTACCTTATGACTTTTGTGAACTCTTGAATTATCAAAATGAATTGCAAACTTTTGTTTTTGTTGTTTGGATTTCTCAAACTCATCAGAATTGATAATTTGAGTAAGAACATTGTCAATTAGATACTGAGCATTCATCGTATTAGGTTTTAAGAATATCAATTGCGATGATGCCATTCACGCCCAAAAAACCGACAACATCATCATTGGTGTGTCAATTTTTTTCTTCGGGAATGTTTGCGGATTTTCATCCTTCGGGATCCACATGATTTTGGCTTCTGTTGCATATTGAAACCAAGACTCGTCCCTGTTACTAAAAAGCGAACTTCTTGGATTGATACGCACCCAATATAGAGAGGAGCTCTTTCGAAGATTGGACTCTAGATTTTTTTTGAACTGAATTAAGGTTGTGCGGAACCCAACGTGTATACGCTAGTTTGTAGTTCAAATATTATGCAGATAATAACTGACTGTTGTACGTGGTATCTTTGTCATCTCCTCTATCCTTCTGAGTGATGCTCTTGGGTCTTCATCTAGCGCTTGAAGAATTGCTTTGATTTTTCTTTGATCCGGCGATTTTTTGTCAATTTTTATGATGGGCGCCTTTTGTTCATGAAGTGATACATCCTAACATGATACGTTACAGTGGAATAGCTAGGAGCATCCATACCGAAGCATTTTACCAATGTCTCGTAGATTTTTTTACAGTCTTTGCATTTTTTTGCAAGAGCGAGATGTTTTCTTTATGATTCATTAAAAAATGAAAAAATCCCGCCAAAATTTCCCGCGAAACCGCCTCTTGTCTCAAAATTCATTTTATATCCCGGCATGGCGCCAAAATACAACTTACTCATCATATACATATATTCATATTTTTTATTATATATTTATAATCAGCATATATCTCCTTTAATAGTCTCATATAGAGCGCTGTGCTAAACGCACCTTTGGACACCCTATATTTTCTTCTGACATTTTTGAATAATTTATTTTTTTAATTCGTAAGAAAATGAGTGGATCAAGATTCGTAACCGTCAATCAATTAATGGATGCTCTTTCACCAATTCTTGAAAATGTTAAACAAGTAGATGTTTATTTCGATGATTATGTAGAAAGTTTATATTATAAAGGTAAACATAATATTAAACCCATTGCTTTTGCATTTGATAATAAATTAATTGAAAATGCAAAAATTTGGAAATTAATTCCAGATATTGAATATATAACGAATATAACTAATAAATGGTTCAAACGAATTCCAACCACAAAAGTTCTTTGTAAATTAATGATCAAAACCGAGGCCAAAGAATTTCATGAATTTACATATCATCCAAATAAAGTTTCAGAACTAGAAAATGAAAAACTTCAGAAAATATTAAACGATAGACTTTCAAATGATCGTATTGAAAAAATAAATAAACTAGCAGAAGTTGCATTTAATAATGAAATATTTGATGAATATAACCTTGAACTCAGTGATGGGCTTTAAGGACCCGGGCTCAACGAGTCATGATTTATGAAATCAATTATTTGATTCATTCTTTCTTCAATAATTTCTATTCTTTTTGTTAAATCATCTATTTTCATTAATGAGGTGATTCTTGATTGAGGAATAGATTTCAAACTAACCACTCCTTTTATTTTTGAAATTTTGAATCCATCAACTTTAAACATTTTATTCAATTTACACGTTGTCAATTCTTCAAATAATTTTTTATTATTAGCATAATAGTCATTAAATTCTTCAACAGATGAAAAAATTTTTATTTCAGTAATTGGTTTAACAACGTTTATTTTTTGTTGAACATTTTTACTTTCATTTATTTCTTCCTCCTCTGTTTCATTTATTTTTAAAATTGGTTTCATTTATCATTAAATAAAAATTAGAATATAAGTGATGAAATATATTTTTTAATTAATATTAAATCAGAAATGGCGGCAGGATTCTTTAAAAAATTATGGGAAGGAATTAAGAAAGCTGCGGGTTGGGTTCATCAAAAGATTATTAAACCTGTAGCAAACTTTTTGGCACCAGTAGCGAAAACGGCAGGAACTATCATAGGTGGAGTATTAGGCACTAAAGCAGGTAATCCGGCGATGGGAGCACAAGCGGGTAACGCAATTGGTGGAATAGCTGAAGGAATACTTAATAAAATAGGAGGTAGATAGTGGAAAAATAAATATTATTTTTATCTTAGTATCGGTTGAAGTCTTTGATAAACTTTTTCTCCTTTATTTAATATTTCTCTTATTGGGGCGGCTTTTGGCGTTATTGATTCAGCAACGTCACTAATTGCTTCTTTATTCTTAAATATCCAATTTGCTCCTTTCTTCATTGTTTCCCAAACTTTATGCGCTCCTCTTTTTACTTTATCCCACAGTTTCTTAAATATACCTGCAGCCATAGTTGATTATTTCATTAAAATTAAAAATTCATTTTCATCTTTTAATTTTGATTTTTTATTTATTAATAAATGACGACTAACTATTTGGTGCCAAACACTAAACCATTAATGGAAATGTATTTCATTCATTCGAAAAGATAAATGAAATATTCGCAAAGAATGACGGTAGAAGATATTATAGAGAACTTGAAAGTTCATGCTATGACTCTGATGCTCCATATTTTGATGATAAACAAACTCATTTAAGAATTACAAATCCGGCTCATGATGTGAACCAATTAGGTGACACATATATTAAACGCAAAGTTAAAGCAACTCTAGTTTCAAATAAAGCTTTCACATGTGATGCCGCTTTTAAATGCATGCGTTTATTCGTTGGTTACAAATCATCAAATCAAAGCTTTAAACAATTAGAAGTAGAAACCGAAAGAGGTGATGCTGGTTATCTTCAGATGGATTGCGCCCGTGAATCTTTCGCATTTGCAACATATAAACCAAAATCAGAAAGGAAAGTTAAAAAGTTTGTTCATTCGTTATATAATAATGTTCAAAAATATGATAACTCAGTTGTGGTAAATATATTGACCCTTCAGAAGTTTTCAAGAACGCAAATGAAGAAGTTGATGTCACTTTTGATATGATTATTCCGGTAAATGATTTGTTTATGTTAGCATTTCAGGCGTTCGATGATTATCCTAAATCATTTGGTGAATCATTCTTAAATATTATGTTTTCAGGGATACTTTAGTATTTTGTCAGGTTGACCCGTTAAGAGTTGCTGATTTACAAAATTACGTTTATGAAAAGATAACTGATGAAAATTATGAAAAGATTATGAATCATGTTTATAAAAATATGATCGCAAATTCCAACAAATCGGACTTCCTGCCAAATTAATTACAAGCTTAGCCTACATCTGCTGACGCAACAGTTGATAACGTTATTATTTCATGCACAAAGATGGAAGTTTTAGAGGATAAATGCATTACACCAGGATACGGTTTAATTGAAGAATCAGTTAAAGCAATACCACGTTTATTCAGTAAGGAAGATCCATTTATGATTCCAGCTCAACATATTGACGTTCGTTCACTAAATGGAGGTTGCATCACTCCTGAAGGTATTAGCTCAGATTTCTCATACGCTCTTCATAATGTTACAGATGTTGTGTTAACATTTCCGAAGAATGCAATGCAAAGAACAGTTTTAGAAAATCCAATGCTTCGAGGTCTTCAGGTCACTATAGATTCCAGAAACTTCCCCGATCAAGCGATGACCACAGTGGGCGACATATTCTTTACACGTATGCTTCAAGCTTCTGATTTAGATGGAGTGAATGAATGCACAGAAGAATACGAGGACTCATTAACTAGACCACTGAATGATGATAATGGCACGCATTAGCTAGAACATGGAAAGACCAAACTTCATTCTTATGCACTATTCCAGTTCAACGTGATGGAGCGGGTATATTCTTTGATGGATTAGAAACTTTCAACTCACAAGTTACAGTACAAGTGAAAGCTTATCCAATCATTCAGGGTGAAAATGACACTTACTGTTCAAAGGTGACAAATCCTCCTCAGGTTTGGTTTACTAGGACTACATATTGGACATGGACACCGATGAAGGTTTGAAATATCATCCAACAGGTACACCACCACAGTATAGAAGTTCATATGATGAAATATTGATGAATAGAAATGTTTAAAATTATAAATTTATTTTGATTAAATGGATTTAAATTCATCCACCCCTTATGAAGAATTAGCGGAGTATATAATACATACGTAGATGATATGATTAATGAAGCATTGAGTGATAATAGAAATGCTCTATCTAAGGAAAATTAATGAAAATTCCATATTCTGAATGTTATTTAAATTCAATCACTGCAGCAATTGGTAAACAAAATAAAGGTAAAACATTAACGATATTAAAACAAATTATCATTATTGCTAACACTTCCCCCTATTCACATGTGTTAATTTATATCAACCGTTCAGGTTCACCTTCAGATGATACATTTGAATCTTTAAAGCATTTAATCAAAATTCCAATTATTTATTTATCACAAAAAGAAGCAGAAGATTATTTAAAAAACTTTTTAATGTATAAAGAATTATATAATACAATCAAGAAGCAAGGATTAGAGGATAAAATTATTGATAAACAACGGGATGAATTATTTGAAACACTTTCTATTTCAAATTTTGATAGAGAATTTTTGCATTCACTCATTTTTCTAGATGATGCAGTGAAATCAAAACTAATAACAAATGAGAAATCATATTTTAATCAGTTATTAACTCAATGTCGATACATTCAGTGTTCATTCTTTATGGCTGTTCAATATTTCAAAGCATTAAGCACAAACATTAAATCAAACCTGTCCACCCTTTTTATTTTCAGTGGTTTTAGTCGTCAACAGTTGAACGTTATGCTTTATCAAGTGAATTTACCAATGAGCATTAATGAACTTTACACACAATATCAACAATTAGGAGAACATGGAAAAATAATAGTTGATTTAAATAAAGGAGGTGTTAAATTTGATTAACTTTTTATGATTAATTTTTATTTTTTATTTATAATTAAAATGACAGAAATAGCAAATCTTCTACAGGTTCCATTAAAACAAGGGACAAACAAAAAGGGTGCATATAATAGAACTATGAAAGTTCCAGACGGAATGAAAGAATTAGTCCACATTGTTGCCGGTCTTCAAAAGGATGTTAAACAAATGAGAAACGTTTTAACATTACCAGAAGCTCAAGCATATGCCAAACGTCATGGTCCAAATTGGGAAGCACACGAAGCAGACATTACGGGTCCAAATGGAAAACCTGATGGTATAAATGAAGTTTTCGTTACTGATGGTCAAGGTAATATTAAAGTCATAAATGGTTACAAATTAACTATACTGATTATCCTAAACGTAAAGCATATAATGAACGTTATCCTATGCAATTTGATGAAATGGAAAAGCTGTTAAACAATACATTGGAGAAGGTGAAAATGGTCCAATTAATTCATACCGTTATAATCCATATTCTTATTTCAATGAAGAATTAAATGCTGTTGAAGAGGGACCGGATGGATTACCACGATATGTTAATCAGTTTGATGGTCAATATGCAAATATTAGACCTGAAATTCCAGCTAAGAAATTCTTTAAAGTTGCTTTATTCGATCCAGTGTTCAATGAACAGAAAGAAGCAATGAAAGCAGAATTTAAACCAATTCAAGTGGCAAGAATTTCTTCATCTTCACTTTCAGAAGCGTTCAAGGAATTGATAAAGAAACCACTTTATTCTCAACAAGGTTATAACTTTGATTTAATTAAAGAAAGTGATAGACGTAAATTAGAAAAATCAGATGGTTTTAAGAATGCATGTAATGAAATGATTAAAGATATTGTAAATGATAAAATAAGACTGGAAGAAACTCAAAGCAATATCAAAACATAATTGGTGCAGTTACAAAGAAAGTATAAGCAAAACAAGGATGAACCTTGGGATATTACCGTAACAACTAAATAAAACTTTAAATATATTTTTCTTTTTTTTATTCAATTATAAATGAGAAGACGTTTCACAAGTCAAAAGAACACAAACGCAAAAGCAGAGATTACGGTTGGTTATAACGTAAATGATGATAAATCACGAATTATTCAAAATGTTAAAGTTAATGTTAGCCTGAATTAACAAGGTCAGCAACACAGTCCAATTTATTAACTCGTGACTTCCCGAAGAATGAGGAGAGCAAAATAAAGAAGATGGAGACCAATCATTTTATCTGAACCCGGTAAAGAACCTGTTGAAATTCCCACTTATCCAACATACCCCCCGCCTCTTTCATCAAACATCGAGAACCCAGGAATCTACGATTCCAGTCGCAATGCGCCATATAAAATAGACATTAATTCAGAATTAATGAAAATTTACCGTGATATAATAATTAATAATTATGATTCAATAATAAATTTAATTGACCAATCTGGTTTAATTATTTTACCTTATGAATCATTAATTCACATTATCGCCATTCTTTGTGATGTTCAAGATTCAGACGTTAAGATTCAATTTTTCATAGATGATGAGGTTTCATGCTGCGGAACAGTTGCAAAAATAAATCCTATAAAGGATATTAGCACAATTAAGATATCAAAGAACGGAACAACAACTGAACTTCATTAACATATAATGATATTTATAATAAAATAGTTGATGAATATAAAATATCACTTGAAAAATTCTTTTTAAGGCTATTTAATATTCAAGCATTAACATTATCGAATAATAATCCTTTGAATCATAATCAATAATAATTGACCTTTCACCAGTTTCTATCGTTTTTTTATTTCTTTTTTGTTCCCCACTATCTGGATCGGTCATTGTAATTGTTTTGTTATAGTATCAGCTTTATCTTTAACTTCAATCTTTTTCCATCAGGATATTTAAACCAAAATTCCAAAAATTCGATATTGTCAATCTGTTCATATTTTAATCTATCAATTACATTTTTAATACCATCTGAAAATCTTATGAAATGGTCATTATATGGGTTTGATTGAACTAAATTTGAATGAAGTGAAATATAACCTGTTGATATATGACATTGACTCATATTTTCTGAAAACACTAAAATTTATAACATGAATGAATTTCTTATTCGTTGAATTTATGAATTCTTGATTAATCTTATTCTAGTTTTATTTATCACTGGAAAATAACACTTACATATTTTTAATCGTAATAAAAATGTCAATTATCAATATTATTTCGAATAATAGCTGTGAATTAAATTTAACAGTTAGCGGAATTTATAATGTTACTCTCGTTTCTGTGAGTGGTAAATTTAATCCCATTCTTTTAGACCCTTCAGATTATATATCATTTATTAAAGATGACCATGAAAAACGTATGATATGTATATAAATAATGTGATAACGAAATGGGATATTAACATGATTTTAAGTTATTTAAATGAATCATTTATCGTATGGTATGAAGAAAATTTTAAATCAAACCTATAAACTTTTTGAACTTGATGAAATAAATAACCTTATTAAATTTCCGCTGAAAATTAAATTTTGTACTCCTCATTTTCGTTCATTGTTGGGGATATTAAATTTTGAAAAAGATGTTGGGGATGTTTTGTATTCTGACACTGGTTCCAATTTCATTTTAATCAAATGTGATAAAGTTAATACCCCAATGAGATTTTCACATCAAACATTAGACCCTAACTCTTACCCATCAATACAAAACATTTTATCCATCAACTTAAACACATTTTCTTTATCATATCCGTTTCAATTATCCGGGAATTCATTTATTCTTCATTCAAAAGATTTATCAAATATTAAATTTAGAATAACTGACCTATTTGATTGTGATTTAGAATTCATGAATGAGATATTATGGCAATTTCAAATAGAAAAAATAGGTGATGAGATAACGGATTAAATATTTATTTTTAAATCATAATAAATGATTAAACCACAGCAACTTAAGGCGCAAAACACCCAGGTCCCTCAGACCATTACATACGCCATATATGCATATAATTCAAAGACGGCAGAACAAACGCAAAGGTTGAAATATGGAGATTTGGAGATAGTATTGAAAAATGACCATTTCGAATTCGTTTGCAAGGGTGGTGCAGTGATATCAAATATAAAAGAAATTTTATTTATGAATTCAAAAATTAAAGGAATAACGGATGATATAACATCAATTCCACCAGAAGAACAGAGATATTACGCATTAAATGCATTTCCTAAAGTTTTGAAGATTGGAAGATTTAATTTAAATGAGGAATTCATAGAAGGTTTCCTAAATGACATAATGAAGAAAGCAGATAAGGAATATGTGGATAGTGAGTTAAATAAGAAGGCAAATTTGGTTTATGTTGATGAAAAAGATAATGAAATTAAAGAAAGGGTTGAATGGTATCATGAATGGACATTGGAGACTTTTAAAGTTAAAGCTGATACAGGATGGGTTTCAGGATGTTTAGACCTTAAAGCAGATAAAACATATGTTAACGATGAGTTAGAGAAGAAAGCAGATAAAACATATGTTAACGATGAGTTAGAGAAGAAAGCAGATAAAACATATGTTAACGAAATATACCAAAGTTTGATAGGAACAAAAAAAAATATTGAAACTATTGTTGGGGATGTTTCTGTCTATGAAGAAAACAAATATTTTAGATGGGAGTTTGTACACTCCTTAAAAAATGGTATACGGTATAAACTCATTCCGAAAAATAACAATGAAATGTATGTAGGCTATATAAAGAATAATGGTACACAAGTTAAAGTTCCATTAGACAACAACTGTTACTTAAACTTATATGGAGACGAACAAAAGAAATATTTAAGAGTTTATGAAATGGCAGATATGACGTTGGCTGACCCAGCTCCAGCACCATATTATTATGACTATGGAGATGACGACAGAACACCACATGTAGATGAACAAAAACTAACATTATATTTAGATTATTATAGATATAAAAGATATAATGCAATAGAAAAAACGAGAATAGTATATTATTATACAGATGACAGAAATAAATATTATAGTCAAGATTTTACCTACCCTGAAAACATAAGATTATATTATAAAAAATATTCTGACACAAACCAGAAGAAACCTGAAATAGTTACACTATATCTTAAGTTCAAAAGAGACAATCCTATAATATCTCATATGTTTGATTTAATGAACCCAGTAGGTTCTATTTATACATCTATGGATGCAAGAGGTCCTCAAGTAATGTTTGGTGTTGGTGCATGGGAACAAATAGTTGACAGGTTTTTGTATTGTGCAAACTCTTCAAAGGAAACAGGAGGTTCGAAGAAAATTACTGAAGCAAACCTTCCACCGCACACTCATACAGGAACTACAAACTTTTCTGGTGACCATAGTCACTCATTAAGAGACCATCCATTATACAACTCAGAATATTATGCTGGCAATGACGTTTTATCTCCAGATTATAACCATTCGGCAAAAAAGACTTTTCGACCAACTGAACCAGGAGGAAATCATTCACACACTTTCACAACAAATCCAACAGGCTTGGGTAAAGATTACATGCCACCATTTGTGACTATATTCGCATGGTACCGCATTCAATAAACACACTTGAGCCTACTTTGCAGGCTTACCGAATGAACTAAATATATTTTATGTCTGTAATTAATTAGGTAATGAAGTAATGGATGAACTGCAGAAATAAATGTTTACGTTAAGTGACTCAAAGAGTCCGGAGACAAAGTCTCATGTTTTCAGGTTATTCAATAATTAATTATTTTTGAAGAACTGAAGGGGTCACCAGGTCACCATGTGTCACTCGGTTAATTAACTTCTCTGAAAAAATGAGACAACATGACATTTTGACAACATCACAGGAGGAAGGCAGTTATGACTTATCATGTATTTTCTCAAGATAGAAAAATAACGTTAGTTTTATTTTTTCTAACTTTTTATTTTGTATGTAAGAACAGTAATGTCGGTCGAAGCAAAAACATTCACTAACAAATCTAATGGTGAAACATTCACAAAAGGCACTTATAACGGTATTGAAGTCTTACGTAGAGACAAGGATGGTTACATTAATGCAACAAAGATGGCAAGAGAAGCGGGAAAGTTAAACCATTTAAACAGATTTCTCAATAGTACTAAAATGCAGGAAATTCTTGAGTTTTGGATGAACGAATACGGTGGAGCCAAAAGTGGCTCGACCTCAAAACAAGCATTTTATGAGCTTACAAAGGGTGTCATGAATGAATTCAAAGGTATTTACATACATCCTGACCTCGTTCATTTTGTTGCTGAATGGTGCTCTGTAAAGTATGCATTTTATGTCAAAGATATTATGGACTCCATAGACAAGAAAGTTCATGAGAAATTAGATGAAGAAGAACTCGAAGATACAGTAGAGAATGCAAAACATTTGTTTGAAGAAGAAGTTAGAAAAATGTGCGAAAAACAATTAGAACATGAACGTGAGATATGTTATGGTTATAGAAATTCTCCATACGAACTAGACCAATGGGAACAAGAAAATTTAAAGAGAGAATTTAGAGAATATGAACTCGCTAAGATAGCATTAGAAGCTGCAGAAAAGAAGTTAAAAGCTTGGGGTCGTTTTGTACAAAAATATTGTGAGTAAATGGTTTCCGGTTATTCAATAATTAATTATTTTTGAAGAACTGAGGGTGTCACTACGTCACCATGTGTCACTCGGTTAATTAACTTCTCTGAAAAAATGAGACAACATGACATTTTGACAACAGTCCTGGAAATAAATTTTATCGTTAATGTTTACGTTTATGGTTTCCGGTTATTCAATATTTAATTATTTTTGAAGAACTGAAGGGGTCACCAGGTCACCAGGTCACCAGGTCATTTAACTTCTCTGAAAAAATGAGACAACATGACATTTTGACAACATCACAGGAGGAAGGCAGTTATGACTTATTTTTGAAGAACTGAAGGGATCACCAGGTCACCAGGTCACCAGGTCATTTAACTTCTCTGAAAAAATGTGACAACATGACATTTTGACAACATTTACGAAAATTTGATGCAGCCCAAAAATAAAGTTAGTTTTAAAATTATTTTTATTTTTTTATTCCTATATAAATGACAGCAACAAACAACAACAACAACTATATCGTTTCTGATGAAAAAGTTATTGATTCATTAGCTGAGGAATTAGTTGTGGCAGAAACTAAAACCCTCAACGAAAGAATTGGTGAAAACAAGATTGATTTACATAACTACCTCAAACATGATGGAGGAAGAGGAAGGAAAACTGGTACAGCTTTATTAGTAAATAAAATTTCAAATTTAACGATTATAGATGTTGATATCAATAAATCGTACAATGATGAACTTAAAGAAACAGTTAGAAAAGACATTTTATCAAAACTTTCGGATAAAGATGTTATCGTTAAAACCGCTTCAGGAGGTCTTCACATTTATTGCAACACTAATTTCTTCTATGCAGTTTCGAACAGAATGATTAAATGCTATTCCTGCAATGATTATGATATTGATATAATGACTTCAATGGATGATTCAAAGCGTTCATTAGTGGTTATGGCTGATTCAAGAGTTCGCAAGAATGCAACAGAACCAATCAATACATACTCATTCATTCGTGGAAGTTATGATTCAACATTAACCAGAACAGTGAATGATATATTAAATGATTTGAATATTAAGGTAAGAGTTGAACAGAAGAACGAAGAAATAAAGAATATCATGAATGAAAACAAAGATGTAAACATTGACGATAAACTTGCCCAGAGCATAGTTGATGGCATTAGTGATTTTGAAGTACATAATGATGGTGGAAACATGAATTTAGAAAAAGAAGTTACATTATTCACACTGTTTCAAGCAATTAATTCGTTACCTAATCATTTAATTAATGAAGCATACGATAACGTTTATAATTTCTGCAATTTAACTGAAAATGCAAAAAGTAATTTTGAAAAAGCACGTAGTAGATATGCACATTTAATGACTTCTCCATTTGTTTTGGTGAAGATTCTAAAACTTTATCAAAAGGAATATTATGATGAATATGTTTTACCTTTATTACGTAAGCCAAAAATAACATTTGATATAAAACTTGATGACTCGTTTTTGATAACAGATATTAGACGCAAGGCTGAAAATCATCAGTATAAAAACAGTTCTGAAGTAATTGAGGATTTATCACGTGTAATCCGTTTTGTAGATTGTGGAAATAAATATTTCATTCAAAAGGACTATAATATCCACGACAAAATGAATCAAATATCATTCGTTCTTCAATCAAACATGAAAGAGTCACTCAAAATGATTAAATTATTTAAAGAAGAAGGTAAAACCATAACAGCATGGGACGTACTATTAAATCAATTATCCTCATTAACCGTTAAGGGTGTTTGCTTTAAATCTGATTCCCCAGATGTTTTCTCAACGTTTCAGGGTTATAAATACAACATTCTTGAAAAGCCTGATTACTCAAAAATTGAGATGTTTATGAATTTCATTAAAGAAGCCATTTGTGATAATAACGATGAAGTGTATAAATACCTTCTCGGCTGGATTGCATCAATGATTCAACATCCTGGAATCAAGAATGAAACAGCAATTATTTTGAAAGGACTTCAGGGAACAGGTAAAAACAGATTTACAGATATTATTTCTGAACTTCTCGCTGGTTATTCATGTAAAAACATTACTGAAATAAGTGAGCTAACGGGTAATTTCAACTCAGTAGTTGAAAATAAAATGTTTCTTGTACTTAATGAACTCAAGAATGTAGGTGAAGATAGACTCGCAAACTTCAACGCTTTGAAATCAATTATTACGGATAATGAGATTAGAATTAATGATAAGAATCAACCCAGAAGAACAGCTCAGAATGTTGCCAATTTCATTTTCGTAACTAATAACGTCTACCCGTCAAAATTGAAGTTGGAGACAGAAGATACGTAGTTTTAAGGGTTAATGGTAAATTCAAGGGTCAATTTGATTACTTCAAGAATTTAATGGATTCATGCACTAAGGAATTTTATGATAATTTACTGACGTATTTTATGCAATATGACCTTTCATCATTTAATGTACGAATCATACCGATGACTGAAGCCAAACAAGATTTAATAGAATTATCAACAAATCCTTTAGATGAATGGATAAATACACATTATGATGAATTATGTGCAGGTATGACGTGTAAAAATGCTCTATTCTGCAAACCATCAGACATGAAAGACAAAAACTTTCAAATGAGCATTAAGGATAAATGTGAAAGGAAACAAAGAAAAATAGATGGTAAACAAACATGGTATTATGTTTTGAAAGAAGAAATGAAAGGATTATATAAACAAATTGAACCAAACGATAATGAGGAATCATTTACTGACGATGAAATACCTGTGAATGAAGCTTTATAAAGTATGACTGGAATTTATTTTTGCCTTCCTCCTGTGATGTTGTCAAAATGTCATGTTGTCACATTTTTTCAGAGAAGTTAAATGACCTGGTGACCTGGTGACCTGGTGATCCCTTCAGTTCTTCAAAAATAAGTCATAACTGCCTTCCTCCTGTGATGTTGTCAAAATGTCATGTTGTCTCATTTTTTAAAAGAAGTTAAATGACCTGGTGACCCCTTCAGTTCTTCAAAAATAATTAATTATTGAATAACCCATGATGTTGTCAAAATGTCATGTTGTCACATTTTTTCAGAGAAGTTAAATGACCTGGTGACCTGGTGACCTGGTGACCCCTTCAGTTCTTCAAAAATAATTAATTATTGAATAACCCATGATGTTGTCAAAATGTCATGTTGTCACATTTTTTCAGAGAAGTTAAATGACCTGGTGACCTGGTGACCTGGTGACCCCTTCAGTTCTTCAAAAATAATTAATTATTGAATAACCCATGATGTTGTCAAAATGTCATGTTGTCACAAACTTTAGAACGGCATAATTTAAATTTTTATTTTTATCATAAATGAATACCCCACAAGCTCAAAATTTACCACGAATCATAACAAGGGAGGAAATGATAAAAATGATGCAAGAACATGTTAAAAATAACAAACCACTAAAATTGAGAAAATGTGGTTATGCAGTAATGATGGAAAGAGAGATGTTGTCGAAGAGGAATAAAAATTAAATTTGGATAGAGTTTAAAAATTCATCTTTATTAAATTCATCTCTTCCAACCAATTTATTTATTCTATTAAATTCTTTTATTTTTGCTTCACTCAGTTTAATGATTGAACGGTAAGTTTCTAATTTTTCGATTATTTCTTTCCTCTCTTTATCGTTTTCAGTTCCATTAGTTTTATTGTTTTCAACCCCACCGCATTGCGCTTCTTTTTGTAATAGCATATTTTTGATTTAATTCTGTTTAGTTTCTTTTTATATTCATCGTCTGGACTCTTGACTGCTTGTTGTCACTCATTTCTTACGAAATAAAAAAATTAAATATCATTTAAATATAATGGAGTAATAAAATAAATCGGAATTTCTATTAATTTATTGTCAACTTCAACTAATGCATTGCCGTTAATATATCTAACAAATTCAGCTATTGTGTCAAATCTTCGTCTTCTTTTTGTCATTGAT